CCTGCCTGTGCTAGTTCTACCCTTGTGCACTCAGACACCGATTCTGAATGCGGTTGTATCAGGAAAGCAAATCTTATCTCTGTTGCCAAAACATCACAAAAGGGACTGACTTGGGGACTAGGAACTGCCTCACTGTGACACATCAGGGGGTGGCATGTTTGTAACAGCAGATTGGTGAGTTCTTGACAGCTCTGAGTACTTTTCAGTAGTGCTTTCTAGCATGCAAGCCTTGTGCTAGCAAAGCAGTTTTTACTCCTTGAGCAGTTCCACGAGGTTGAAGTTGGTGAGTTACCTTCTTGCTTGCCTTAAAGTTGAGCATGTGGGCTCAGCTGCCTGTGGGTGGTGCACGTTAAACCCTGCGAGTAAGCAAAGCTGCAGAAGCCAAGTGGGTGCATTAGAGTGGTTAAAGCTGCTTCTGCTGTGCGACTGCCTGCTCAGTGACAACCAGTGTGCCAATAACTTCAGCCAGCAGTTTTGGGCTGGGACAGAGTCATGCTCTCACAGGTTTTGAAGGTGTTTATATAGGTGTAGTTCCTTGCAAAATTTCTTTGTTTTGATACCCCTAAAATCTGGTGTTTCCTTATCTTTGACAGAGAAATTCTCTGGTTTATTGGTACAGTAACTAATCTAGTGCATTTAAGGGGAAGCTGTTACCAACCTTTTTTTTCTGTCTTAAGTTTTACATCAGGGTAGGATGTTCTGAAGTCCAAGGTGAGGAGGAAGCTAGTGCAGATACTACAAGGCCTGCCAATCTGGTTCTTACTGTTCAGAAAAACAAAATAACTAGACTAAGAAGCTTACTGGTAATTAGTAGCTAATGTGTTTGTAACTATCATGTGCCTTAAAATTTTCATGGTAGGAGAATAAAAAAAAAATCAACAATGTGTTTTCTGTAATACTGCTCAACATTCTCTCTGTAGTTTAGACTGGTGGGATTTTGCATTGTATTTACACTGTACTATAAACTGAAACACTTAGAATGGTTTGATTTTACAAGTATGGAGAGGAAAAATAAAAAAGGTGGATTACGCTTTTCATAGAACAAATGTTACCGTGACAGAATGTATTATTATTATAGGATCTTTCCATAATGCAGACAAGTAGAATGCTTGTTAGAAACCAGGTATGTAGGATAACAATTTGGTGTGTTTTCAATAAACCATGCCTGGAAAGAATACACGTGCCATTGGTTATCTTTTTGTTACGTCAGGTACCTCAAATGTTCTTTGGCTTTGGAACAGCAAATTTCTGTGGCAGGGGATTATTGAACCCTAGTTCAGTTCAGTGTACTCAGTGTTAGTAAAAGGTCAGTGGTAGTGAGGGCAATTGGAATATCCTCCAAACTTACTATAGCTGAAAATATTTTGATTCATTGCCATATGCTGGAGTTGCAGCATGACCCTGAACTGTTGATCATGGTGGTTTTGTCCTTTTTAATATACACCTGTATTTCTGTGGGAAAGACATCTGCATCACCACTCAAAGGCCTGCGCATTTGGGACCACAAGCCTAGCTTGCTGATGGCTTTTCCATTTGGGAAGTTAGTAACCTTTCCTAATTTGGTCATAAAATCCATGTAACTTTACAAAGATGTCCCATTTCTGAAATATGTGTAAGTATTCTCATAAATGTAAGAATAACAGAAAATCTTTATTGCATTGATGTGTGCCGTTTGGTTGACATAAGAAATGGTTATTTTGGAAGTGTGCCAAATAATTTACATTTGTTGCTATGTGGGGGAGAAAAATCCTGATACTGAGAAGTCAACCATGTGTTTGAAGTAACAGCTGGTTACTGACAGATCTGAATTCTTTTTCAGACCGCCTTCTCCTGGCACATTCATCTGTGTTGGTAAGGTCAGTAGGGAGGCTGCACCTAAACACATCACAGTGACCGCCATGCCTACATGAAGCGTGGCAAACCCCAGTAAATCTTGACATAGTGTCTGTCTTACAAGTAGAGTGGAGGTCAGGTTTTCTGTGAGTGGAAACCTAGTAACAAAATGTGCCATGTGTTCAATTCCTGATTGTACCATCCACAGCACTAATGTAAGGTTCCATTTACTCACAAATGCTTGCAAGCAGCACTTGAAAGCTCATCTTAGGCTTGCCTTCCTTCTTTATTTCAGATGTCCTGAATGCATCCTCAGCAGCTCTGTAAAATCATCTCCAGGTTCTGTTCTTGCAGCTGCAGGATTTTGTTTCACAAGTGCTCTGGCTTAGCATCGTACTCCTCGGTATTGTCAGTGTTCTGCTGCAATGAGGAATCTGTTTATTTCTTTATGGATACACTAACACAGCAATGAAAAACAGATGCTGTAGGTAAGGTACTGAGCTAAAACAAATATGTTGTTTCTACAACTGACCTTTTGTAGCTGTCAAAGTGATTTCATTTCCAGCTTATCACAGGTTGGGCACATGGAAGCAGTGAGTTCTGCAGGTGAAAGGTTAACCTGGTAACAACGGGTAAGAAATATCACAGCCCTCGTCTGTTCCAGGTTTCAGTACTGTCTTGGGGGAATATTCTGTCCATAGAGGTCTCTTCCCCAGTGCTTTACTGTGAAGGTCTCTGTGCACCTGAAGCACAGGAACGGCAGAATCTCATTCTGGTACAAGCTGACAGAGGCGTTTTTTGCAGTGGGAAGTTGTTTTATAATGGCATTGTTACGTGTAGAGCCAGAGGCAAAGACAAACTTTTACTATGTTTAACGTAAAAATGCAAATGTAACTAGCTGTTATTCATAAGATACCTTATAACTAATTCCTAATTGATTGACTACTCAACCAAGTAAGCATGCATCACTGCATTATATGTATTTTGAATGACAAAACCATGTCCCTCTGAGGTAACAAAGAGGCTCTTGCAGAAATCAGGCCTCTCTTTCAGGTGTTGCCTGAGTCATGAAGAGAACCTAGAGAGTAGCTGTCATTTGGAGAACAGATCTGAATTACCAGTATTTGGTGGGATCAACCATTTGTGACGAGTTGTGAGAATTTGCTGAAGGCAATGTTGTGTTTTAAGGGAGTTCTTTCCATTGGGAGCTTTCTATCTGTGGTACCCTCTCAGTGGGTGCTCTTTAAACACATGCTTCCAGATGCACAATTGCACACCCGATTTGTGAAAGAACAGGTTGTGTCTTCTAATTGCAATAGGCTGATGTTGCAGTAACACTCAGCAGGTTTTTAGGATATATTTGAATTGGAAGATCCACTGCCCACCTTTTGCTTCTGCCAGAATTCAAAGCATTACTTTATTCTGAAAAGTAACTCTTCTCCCAGGGCGGTTTCACATTTATGTGTCAGTGACTCCAGATCATATTTGCTTAACTGACCAAAAGCCTTTTTTCTAGTTGTCAGTCATGCAAACTGAGTCAGGCTTTTTCCTTTTCATCCCTTGCCACCAATAATTAAGGGCATTTCAGAAGTGTGGTCAAGTGGAAAAAATGTTCTTTGTGTGGAATTTGGTAAATAATCTGATGATACACACACTGTGGTTATTTTCACAGTTTTCCATGTGGGAGATACTTTCTAATGAATTAAAATACCTCTTCTATACAAAAAGGTGGCTGTTATATTTGCACATATGTTACACATGCATTATTCACTAATGCATCTCTTGAAATATCCATGTTAATTCAACAGGTTCCCTGCTTCCCTGATTTTCTTGATAGTCTCTTGGACATTAATTTTGGCCATTAACTAGCAGTAGGAATGTATTTTTCTGATCCTCCCTTGTAAAGTGGAGAACATTTTACCCATTTACTCTTTTCACATCCTTCATGTATCTGAGACTTTGTTTTGTAGGTGTGAAGTACCCTGCTATAGCAGAAGTGTCTGTTTAGGTGCAGAGGTGTTTAAAGCTAGAAACAAAAGAGGATTCTTTGGAGTCATGACCTTAGGTGTACATAGAAGAATGCCTGTCAGCAGTATGTATCCTGATTTCCCAGTATCATAGAATCATAGAATAGTTCGGGTTGGAAAGGACCTTAAGATCATCCAGTTCCAATCCCCCTGCCGTGGGCAGGGACACCTCACACTAAACCATGCCACCCAAGGCTTCGTCCAACCTGGCCTTGACCACTGCCAGGGATGGGACATTCACAGCCTCCCTGGGCAACCCATTCCAGTGCCTCACCACCCTTACAGTAAAGAATTTCCTCCTTATATCCAATCTAAACTTCCCCTGTTTAAGTTTTAACCCATTACCCATTGTCCTGTCACTACAGTCCCTAATGAATAGTCCATCCCCAGCATCCCTATAGCCCCCCTTCAGATATTGCAAGTTTCCAGTATGCTCTGGAAACTTGTGCATGTCAGTCTGCTTGATGGTTACTTTCTTTTGCAAGTTTTGCACAAACTCCTTGGAACCTCCTGAAGTGACTTTGAGTTAAGCCTGGACACTAAGAGGACTTGGTGCTGAGCAAGCTTACAGAATAAATCAACTTATTCACAGTGTGAGATGGAAGTGTTGGAGCTCAGAGTTTGCTCCTACACAGGACAGCACAACAGAGTCACAAGGGGCTGCCTGCATAATCTAATCCATTATAGTAAATCTTGTTTTTCTCAATGTGACAGAGTTTAAATTGTTGAAGAAACTCTCATAATGTGGCCTTCTCATATTGCTGTGAAATGCACACACTGTAAGCTGGCTGGGTCACTGTGCTTTGCTTGGTCCATTTCTAAATTGCCTGTCACCTGAGTCTGTTCTAGTTTTCCTTTATACTGTGGGGCAATACTCTGCTAGGCTCATGACTGGTGTCCTAGAGGTGGATTTTCTCTACCACGTAGGCCAGGAGAGTCACCACTTCAGTAAGGTGAGCGGTAAAAGGAAGAAGCTGATAACAGGTCTGAAAGAATCCGTAATAGGAAAATGGGAATGGTTCTCCCTGATTTTTCACTCTCATTTTCAATTGTTAGATCTTTCTGTGGCTGTTGCAAGGCTGGAAATTCCCAAGTGCAGTACAGAATTCATGGGAAACAAAGGAAGTCACGTGCCAGCTCTATTGTTTTTTAGGGTTTATTTATAAATGCGACCATTGCCTCATTATATAATCACAGCAGGACATGCCAGAATGCCAGTGGATTTATGCATTGTTCAGGTGAGTGAGAGATTTCATATTTGGGTTGTTGTCTTCTCAGGGACAGCCCTCACTATTCCCATAGTGTTAGCAGCACTGAGATTAACCAGGGTGTGCAACACCTACTTGGTAAAACCTGTTCTCTCTGGTCTTTATTTTTATACAGCATCTTAAAACATACACAGCACTTCAGAGTAAGCAGCTTGCCTTGTTCCTAAAAAGCACATACAATGTCTATACAATATAATGAGAGGATAAGTAAATATGAGGGGTAAACAGCATTTTCCTAAGGTCAAATATTAACGTAGTTTTGGAGGTTTTGGTGTTTCTTTGGAAAGAGCCTGCTCCTTTTGTTCCCTGTCTGTTAGTTTTAATAGTTTTAACCTATTTACTATTCCAGTTTTCCCTGCCTCTGCATGGACAGATTAATGACTTTGTCTTCTGCAAAATTCTGTTCTGTTTTCTCACTGCATGGGTCAGTCTTCCTTCAGTCCATGCCCTTCTCTCTCACATAGCAGTGGTTAACTTTTGCAGTAACGATGCAGAAATGTATCTCAGTGCAATAGGAACCTTCATTGCATTAAGTAGCATGCTGGTAATCTGGCAAAACCAGGGCTCCTGAAATGGTCTTCTCACAACACACATGCTTTTTTTCCACTCTTGATAATGATTACTCAGGTCAGCTTGGGGATACATATCTTCAGAAGTTGTGGCAACTTTTTCCACCTCACCCTAAGCCCAAATCAGGTTTGAGTTCAAAAGAACAGACTGTGTTGTTTGATGACCTGTTGGTCAATGCAGTGTGCAACACCTTGGGTTTGCTGAATTATGTGAAACAATGGAACAGACCTTTGAGCTGTTACCCTACTTCTGATTTTGTTTTCCACCTGGTCTAAAGTGATCTCCACTAGCACTTGCTTTAAGTACAGGCTCCAAAATACAAAAAACACCCCAAAATATAAAGCATGGAAAAATTAACTTGTGCGGTTGCATTTACATGGTTGAGTATTAATGGCCCTCTTTATCCCAAAAACACAGCCTTTTCCATAGCATCATCAGCTTTCATATATTCCAGATGAGATGGGTAGTTAGTGCATTGGAAATGGGAGTTGTTGCGGACATAGTTAAGGAATTCTGGAGCTCCTGGGATGATGACATTGTCGGCCAGAAGAACCGATCCCTTCCTCAGCAAGTTGCATTCCTAGAAAGAAGAGAAATTGCTTCATGGTGGCTGTTAAGCAGACATTGGCTTGAATGTAATGTGCTTTCATGTTAAACCATGTCATAACCAAGTGCCTGCATCCAGAACCCCACCGTACTACAGGTATGGAGGGAAGAAAAGACATGGGAGAATCTGAGTAACTCTAATCCTTTGTGGGCATGTTTAATATGCTAACTTTTAAACAATCTCATTAGAGATACTGATGACATGTTGGATCATTTGGGTCCTGAAATAGCAAATCAAGTGAAGTGGTGGTGTGCAGTTTGCTGCTCAGATCATTTCCAACTATGTCTACATGACCAGAAAGATGGTTTTGTTTTCACTCTCATGCTTAAGTTTGAAAACTTTAATATGGCATAAAAATACTGTAGTAGTTGTTAAGGTCCCCTGAGAGACTGGCATGGACCAGTCTGCTTGGCCAGTCTCAGCAAAACTCCAAAACATCTAAATGAGTAAGAGATTTTCTGTGCTTGTTTTCCTTTCACCCTGTACATTCTGCCACTTTGTTCAGGAACCGGGCATGAAGCAGGGCTTTTGCACAGTGAAGATCACTGACACATTTCCACGAGGCATAATTAACTTGTAATACTCACTTCAAGTACAATGTTTATCCTCAGTTAACCTACAAACCTAATTTTTCTTGGTGTTTTTGTCTAGCAGAAGTTGCTTATCTGAGCTTACCAGCTGTTTTAAAACAGTCTGTAGTTAATCAGGCTGGTTGTTATCCCGTGGTTACAGGCAGCAGTTGTAGCCAAAACGGGGGGTGGGGTGGGTTTTGTTGCTCCCAATCCATTAGAGAAGTTCTGTTGATGAGGGTGCTGTGGATAATGTTCAGCTTTCCGCTGTTGCCCCTGGTGACCCCATACTGGTCAGCATAGAAGAAGCAATTTTAGAGACAGCAAATACCCTCTGGTCCATTTCTATTGCAGAGCTTATAGAAGCCTACAGGTGACAATATGCTGTATATTCCACTGGTCACTAGGATTTCAGATGCTTTTTTGTGTCAGGAATGCTGTCTGGGCCACTTCTGGTGTATATTTCATTTGAATATTTTACATTTCCTATTGGATATTCATATTGCAATACATGCCAAAATTGCATGTTAGAAGGTCTATAACAGCTAAGAAAATGTGATTATCTTTTCCTTGTAATTCTCCTCTTAATTTCATAAGGGATTTTTGCAACTTTGTATCACAGTTGCATCAGACTGACCACTATGATGGAGCTAAACTACCTGTTTGTTTTGGCTGTGTTGTGAAGATTAAGCTCTGATAAGGAAGCACCAGCTCTTCCCAGTGGAAAGAGCTCAGTCATCCTTACACAGCCAGTTTAAAAGAAAACATTCTCTGGGCACAAAATAACTGTAGGGAGGGAACAATTTGTAAATTCAATACTGGCTGTCCGTAACACCAAACAGATTTTCTTTTCAACAGCTATCTGGAGGACAGGCCTGAAATTAAAAACCAGGGGAGCCTGGATGAGGAAATAATGTGGATTTATTTGTGAAGAAAACAATAGAAAAGTTACACTTCCATGCATACAGGCAGTGTAGACAATCTTACCAGCCTGCAGCTCAAAGCTAGGAGAGTGTATGTGCTGTGTTGACAGATACAGATGTTGTCAATCTCAGTTATTTAACACCTGAAAATTCCTTCTTATCCAGAAGTCCTCTGGGACTTGCTTCATCTGTCATTGCCTACTGCTGTTACACATTTTGTAATGCTTATAGTAATAGTTAAGGCAGGTTGGGAAGAATGAGTGTAATTTTTCCATAGTCAGGACTGGAGACAGTTGGACAGCAGTTCCCAACAAGTGCCTGACTGGGGCAGTCTGCACTCCTCCAAAGGTTGTTTTGCCACCATTTGGGTGGAGCAAAGACTCAGAAAGATGATACCCAGCTGTGCTACCAAAATAGCGTTTCATTCAAAGGCTCTGCTGGCACAACAGACCCTCGGCAAAAAAAGGGTACTGAGGAAATGAGGGAAGTGGAGCTGAGCCCTGAGTCTCACCTGCTCCCCGCATCAGGATGGTTTAGGGTCAAATCTTCCAGTTAGTGACCATGTAGACACTCCTTCTAGAGAGCTTAAGACCCAGACCATGCACTCCTTGAGCTAGGATTGTTCATGAAACACAATGGTACAACAGTATTTGCCAAGTCCTGAGCTATGTAGTGTCAGCAGCTGTCCCTAACAAAAGTTTGGGATCCTTTCCCCAGAATCCTGTTTTCTTGTAAGGTTTCTATTTTGGCTGTCATTCTTCATTTTACAGAGGATTTAGTCCTTCACAAAGAATATAGGCCTCACAGACACCAAGGCATTTGCTACTTTACTTTTAAGACTGAAATTGTGGAAACTGACCTGAAGCAGGATGGTATCTGGTGTGTATCTGTCTTTCCAGTGGTCCAGGAAGACAAAATCCAGAGTATCCACCTCATATTTTTTCTTCAGCTGGGGAATAATTTCCTCTGAAGGGCCTTCTAGGAGTCTTACCTGAAATGCAAATCCATCTGATCAATTGAGAACCATTAAGAAAAAGCACGTGCCTCTAGCTCATTTTAAACTGTGGCCAGACTGAAAGAAGCTGCTGCACATTGATTTGTCAAGCAAGAGCCATATTCTGTGTGCGGAAGAAAAAAGTGGTAAGGAAATCTGTCTGGTTTATGACTCATAGCTGATCGGGAAATTAAATCAGATGGGGAAAATGCAATTTTAGATGTTGCTAGTGCTTCAGGTTCTCTCCAAGAAGTCAAGAAACGCATTAGAAGATCTCATGGTGGGATTTATTTCCTCTGGTTTTATCACCTGAAGTGATTTGTCTAGTTGAACAGACAGGCACTTCTTCAGCATGAATCCCCTGACCTGCTGTAGATTTCAGCCCTCGGCTGATCTGGGTTATAGACTGGAAATAACTGCATCCTAGCCAACTGCACAGAGTCAAGACACCTCAGATTGCACAAAATGCATATATACATATATATATATATATATAGTGACCAAGTAGATTTGGGTAAGTACATCTCATCTGAAGTCCATTGCACATAATGCAGCTCTTTTTTGTGAGCTGTCTCACATAACAAAGAACTTTGGAGAACAGCCCTGATTATTTTGGTCACACACATCCCCATACCCTTGACTTCAAACTATCCTGACTCTCAGCTGGGTCTGTGTCATACTTGGGCCCCTGACTAATGCTATCAAATTTAGTTTGTTTGTGCTGTATATACAAAAACACAGATGACCTCGGTCCTTTTCGTGGACACTGGTAGCTTTTCCCTATGATCTAGCCTGATGGTTGAACTCTGCATGTTCCCAAACACTTAGGGTGTTACACTTGCTTGACAAGTAAAAACCAAATGTAAACCTATTCATGTTGTTTCTATAGGTAAAGTCCTGATCTCCATGTATTGCTTCCTCATACTAATTGGAGACAAATAGTATTCACCTTATCTTGCACTCCGGCAAACTCAAACATCTGTTTAGCTATAGCAGCAAATTCTGGGTTGAACTCCACAGTGAGAAGACGAGCTCCTGCCTTCAGCAGCCGAGCAATCCTAACTCCTGAGTAGCCACAGTATGTTCCCAGCTCCAGTGCAACCGATGGACTAACCTCTTCCACTGTCTTGTCTAGAATTACACCTGCATAAAATGGAAATATGTTAACTTCTTACAAAATCAATCTAGATCACATACAGAAGAGCAAGTTAGTGACGAGAAACTTACTAAGTATACTCAGTTGCTAAACACATTCAAAAATTAAGGGTTGATGTCAAATGGTATGCTATATCCTTTGCAAACTGACCTATCTGTGATCAAGTTGATCATGGAAATTCTAAGTTTTGAAATGCAAACTTTCAACTAGAAAAAATCTTGCTTAGTTTCACAATATAAACATTTTTGAGTGAGGAAGTGCCTGAATTAACTAAAATATTTATAGTGTTACAAGGGAAAAATGCAGTGGGCTTGTCTAAGAATTTATTGCCGAAACTAGGCATGTTTGTGGAACATATAAATCCTGAATTTTGATTGCTCTTATTTGTTGCAAATGTTACATGCAGTCTACAAAGTTTCTTATCCTATCTTTGCATGATACAAAGTTTCTTATCCTAAATACTGTTTTTAAAGAGGAAAGAAAAATGTAGTTACGAAGTTGCAAAATACTTGGATTCACTGGATGAATTTGAGGGATGGAAAACATCAGTCAACAACAACAAAACGTTACCAAATAAGTGGTAAGACGCTGTGCTATATTCAGTCCTTCCGAAGAAAAGAATTTATTTGTGAGAAAACTCTTTACTTGTGTGGCTGGAAACTAGAGAACTACTCTGACGAAGTATTTGAAGGGATCTTACAGTGAGCCATGGAATTTTTCAGTGTACATAGAAATTTCATTATCTGGTACTTTCCTGGATGTCATTTGTTTATGAATAGTACGATGATGATGGTTGCTTCTTGGCATCACGTGGTCACTCCCAAAATCTTTGAGACTAAAGATGCGTTAATGATGGCTCTGATCGGAGGAAAGGTCATCTTGTCAGAGCAAAACTGGAGTGAAATCTTTAAGAATATAAGCCCAGTTGATCAAGGTTTAGAGCTCTTAAGAATTTCCACTCAGCCACCACCCACTGTTCTGTTGCCCTCAGCACCCGGCCTGCTATGCAGAGTTTCAAAAACTGTACCCATGACAGAGAAGCTGTTACAATGCTTACTGTTGTATTTCATTAGCTATGTTAATCCCAGGCTTAAGCAACTCTCCCCTGCAATTCCCCAGCAAGAGGTACTTCTGTGTCTAATTCATAACACGTTAACATTTTGCCATTACAGTTTTTTTAAAAGATTGTCACTTTCCTGCAGCTAATTAAAAAATAAATGCTTTGTCCACATATTTTCCTTTAGGAGGCAAGAACAAGGAAATTCACTTGCTAAGTAGCAGCAATGTCTGAGAACTGCTTCTGTGTATTACATGGATAGGATTTTTCCCTTCAACGCTGATTTGTAACTTATGCTTGCATACACAACATAGTTTAAAATACTCCACACTCCCATCCCCCCCCCCATTTACTATCTTTCAGTTAAGGATCAGAAAGTATTTCACGTAATGAATTATGCCTTAAGGGCACCTTGTATAAGAACTGAGGTATAACCCAACCTAGATTTTCCTCGTAAATTGTCACTCTCTGCTTACACAATTGCAGTGTACACAACACGCAAACCCAGACTGGGTCCTGTGACTTCCTGGATTACTCACTGGATACACACAAGGCTGTCCTGGGGTTTTGAGGGGGAGGGGGGAGGTTGGGTTTTGGGTTTGTTTTTGTGTTCTCTCAGCAGATAGAAGTTACTATGTGAACACAATAACATGTCCTGTAATGCACTAGTCTTGAAGGATTGTTCAAGTGCTGATCCCTGCTTGCAATTACCTTTCTCATTGCCCACGTTCATGGCCCACTCTTTCTGGGAGCAGTACTTATCTATAGCATCCAGCACACTACAGGGGTCTCCCCGGACTGCATTCTGCAGCACAAAATTTAAAATCCTCTGTTCCTTGCTCTGATTCATGATTAAATTGGTTATTTTCTCCCGGATTATTTCATTCCAGAGAAGGGAAGCAGTGGGGTTTCTCCTGATGAGTACCACAACCAGCAGCAAAATGAAAAGCAGGAGGAAGACAGTGAAAAGGACTGAAGAGCTCTCGAGCATCTGGAAGGAAAAAGAAAAACAGCCCAGGGTTAAGGTGGCACGGAAGAGATCTATCCTTTTTGTAAATACTAAGTTGAGTAACCCATAGCCAACCATACTTGAACAGCAACACACAGAGTTTAATTATGGTATTTTCTAGAGTAGCTAAAAACTGCTCTCTGTCACTTGGTAATAGATGGTGCTCTGTGGCACTCCCTTTAGAAGCCAATTTTACAGGCAGTCAACAAGTAGCTTTATTTAATGCTCTGGTCCCTTCCCCCACACAGCTGCTCAGTCCTGGCTTCATGCATGCCACTGCACAAGGAGCCTCCCAGCATCAAATCTGTTCTCTTTTTTTAAAGGATTTAAAACCTTAAATCAGAGCCTGCATGTGATCCCTCTTTCCTATATTTTTGAGCACTGGGATACTTCTAAGCTGGCCTTGGTGAGAAAATATGGAACATCTCACCGTTTAATTTTGAGCACAGTTATCAGCAGAAACTGGCCACTGTGAAGTAACATTCTGTTTCAAGCCAGTCTGCAGGTTGTGAGTTACTACCCTGCATGCAGAGCTCTATGCCACCACCTGCCCTTCTTGCATGCTCCGCAGAGAAGCTGAGCTTGATGTTTCAGTAGGACTCCACCTTCCCCTTCCTTTCAGAGCCTGCAGCAGAGGGACCCAGGTGGAATGTTTTTCAGAAAATAGAAGCCTTTTTCCTGCTTATAACACCTTTGACACAAGAGGTTAATCTGAGAACCAAAGATGCATTTCCTTTTATAAAATAGGGATGTTTTCTCACTGGTTATAAAAATATAAACTGAATCCCTGAACCAGAGAAGAGCTCAGACTCATGAAATTGAAGAGATGTACAAAAGGACATGTTGTACTTCTCTGATCGGCCAGCTCAAATCATCTGATAGGATTGTGCCTGTTCTCACTCTGAAATTCAGTGTAACAGCTGCAGATGCCTGTGTGTGTGCAGCATGGGCAGTGTGTCTTTTTGAGTTTAGGGCATCTGAACATAAAGCTCAGCAGATGAGATGCATGTCACCCTGTACAGATCAAGCAGTAAATCCCATCAAAGCCATTTAGTCTGATGGATTTCAGATAGGCTAGTACACAGGGAGGTGCATTTACCTCTTTGCAGGAGCCACAGCACAAAGGATCTCATAAAGAAAGGGTTCTTAATATTAAGCAATTGATTTAGCCTTTGACAGGGTGCCAAACTAAGAGTTTTGATTTGCCTGAGGACTCTCTGCATGTGAAGTTCCTCTTGTACAACTCAAAACACACCTCATTTCTGATGATGCAGCTTATAACACCTCCGCTTTTCCCTTTCTGCTTCCCACAAGCAGAGCTGACAGTTGCATGCTGGGAGGACAGCACAGTTTGGAATGTGCTGCAGTTAGTATTAGGATGAATGACTGCCGAGTTCATTTGTTCTTTAAGTCTAATTAAGCATTTGACCACAGGTCTAAAGGATTCAGAACCCGTTTCTTAACCTCAGCAGGTTGGATTAAGTTGCACTTAAAAAAACAAACTGTTACAGAACATGACACAACTCTGATCCTTTCTATGAAGTCTCTTTCTCTTCCAGGTGGTAAAAATGGTGAACGCCTGCACTTGTATTGCACTCCACCAACCTTCAGCAAAACCAGTCCTCTAATAGGAGCTGCAACATCCTCAAAATGTTGGCCTAAGTTGCCCAAAACCAGAGGTAAAGGGGCTATGTGATTAGCCAAATATTCCCCAGGTCTCTTCCTGCTTGTTCCTGTTTCTCTTTTTTTTTCCCAGGATTGTCCCAAGAATATTGTAAATGTTACGTGTTGTCAGACCTCCATTCTGCAGTAGGAGTTGGCACATACACATTACACACGGGGAAAAATCTATCCCGCTGCTTTGAATTTTTAATCATCATGCACAACAGACTTTGAGTTTAGAAGATAACTGAGTTTCCATGGAGATACGCTCACAGTGGAGTTTGTTCACCCATCCATTTATCTTAGTTGCACAGCAAGTATGATTTGTTTGGAGCAGTCAAAAGTCTATTTATTTTGCTTTTAAGTAGTAACCACTGTTAATGCTTACCTTAAATGCTTTCCTTGCAAAGTCTGACCTGAGACATTTCCTTTTAGAGCTTGTCAGCATCATTAGCACAGAAAAATCGTGCTTCTTGAACCTCATGAACTTTATTTCCTAGCTAGTAAGAATCTGTTCCTCTACCTCAGCAGGATCATCAAGGCCTGGATGTCAATTTTGCTTCTTTCCTTCTATATACTAGTAGCCCTACTGATCAGGCCTAATTGTCCTACACCTTCCAGGTGGGACTTGTGCTCTTTCTAGTTCTACATGAAGATGTTCGACATTATCTGTCCACCAAGAACTTGGGCTGGGCCTTAGTTGATTGTATGGTCATTGTTGATGGATTTGGATTACTGACATAGTTGAGACATAATTATTCTGAACTGTGGTGAATGGATGGAGCCCAGAAGCTATTTACTGATGCCAGCAGGTATCTAACCCTTCCTGCCTCTGCACAAGGGAAACCGCATGAGCCCTGCTTACCAGTGACTCACTTGGTGGCAGTTCAACTGTATTCGGGTCCCTGTAGAACTGAAGACTGTTGGTGTTCAGAATTATTTCATACTGCTGCCAGACATAATCCTCTGGTTACAAAGGATATGTTGGCATCCTCTGAGTACAACTTGCCACAGCCTGTTGCTTTGACACTGTGAGATTCTGCCAGTGTGTTTGGGGCTGCCTTCAAAGATCTGCTGGAGAGCAAGAATGGATATCTACAGGTGGTGTATTTTGTGAAGAACAGCTTTCCCCTATTGCCTAGTGTAGATATGAGACCATTTGCTGAGATTTCTCAAAACAGGGAGAGAGAGCATCTGTAGGCTATCTCAGGCCCACTCAGGAATGCTGAGATTTCTTTTACATACGGGGAACAGATTGTGAAGACTTATTTTTATACTTTAACAAAAAGAAGCTTCTTGACAGTAAAATCCTACCCCTCCATTTTCACACTGTTACCCAGGCATGGAAGGGTATGTCAGCAAACCAGATTTCCATTATCTTACTTTTCTCACACTACTACAGGCTCTGTATACCAAATTTACAAGACATCACATGCTCAGAAGCCCACATAATAAAGAAGGACAGTATCTTCCTCATCTGCAGCCTATGAAATGCTATTTCTTAACACATCTCTGTTAGCCAGAGCAGAGCAAATCCCTCAAGTTTGCTGATCTTGAACAAACACTTCACCCTTCTCCTTACTTGGACAGCAGGATCTTTTTAAAGATTTTGTTGTTTTAAGATTGCACTTCATGCAGAGAAAGACTCCTTGTTTGAGATGTACATGCCCTAACTTTTCAAATGCATAGACTGCATTTAGGCTGCTGCAACCTGGCAGGTGTAGTGTGACATCCTGCTACTAAGATGCAACTAGCTTAACAAAAGGTGTGAATTGGGATATGCTTCTGAACCCCACAGATAGCCAAAGCCACCTGTTTCTTCTAGCTATTCCTTATGCAAAACCATGAGCAGGCCTTTAGCTTCTCTAGAAGGGCAACAACTGATAGTTCTGCTGGGCCACCTGGAAACAAATTTTGCATCTTCACCTTTGAAATCTTATCACTTCAAGTTCACCCAAGAATCCCCTCTGAAGGCAAAACACTGACCTCATTTCTCTTCTGATCTAGACTGCTGAGTGGCTGCTAACCCTGGTTTGTTTACATGTTTTGTGTAACGTATTTGTTAACAAGACAAAAAAAGCTATATGTGAAAGCTCAAACATACGTGATAAGGGGATGATCTTGGATCTAAAACTTAATCAAGGAAGCAATTCAGCTTGGCTATTCCTACGATTAAGCGCTTGGAGGGATCCATTTCTTACTGTGCCTCAGTTAGATCTTGGCACTTCTGAGTCCTACATGAGTGCCACCTCATATAGCAGCAGAGCCCACCTGCCTCCCACAGATCCTTAGAGGCTGCTCACAGATTGCAACAACCTGTATCGCACATGCTGCTTTTTTCCATTCCTAGACAAGTTCACTTGGTTTTGCTGTATCAAGGAATGTTTTTCAGCTGTTGGGGGGGAGGGTTTATGCTTATTAATGCTGTGTAACACCTCAGTGCCTTCATAAACTGTCGTTATGGGTTGTTCATAGCAGAGCTCCTTTAGGAGACAATTATCCTGAAAACCAGTTTCCAGAGAAAGTAACTTTTAAAAGGAGCAAACCAGAAATACCTTGGTTTTCTCTTCTTTTCCTTTTTTTTTCTTTTTTCTTTTAAGCACTGTTTCTTTTTTAAAGTTTGTCCCTCTTAATCTCTGTCTTCTCTAGATGTGAGAATAAATTTTGTGATAGCAGGAGACTGTAAAAGCAGCCTGCCAAGGGCGAGATGCATCAGTGATGGTCATGTACCCAGAGGGGAAAAAAATCTGTACCAAAATAGGTAATTGCTTTCGCATTCTTAGCTGAAAAGTATTTGATATGAGAATTAAGTGTGTAATTCAGCCAGTTTCAAACTACCACTACCTAAGAGACAGTCATGTTATGACAGCTTTAGAAAATGCAACTGTAATTTTAGCTTTAATATGGATTCATGAGGTTCATTAAATATGCAGTAAAACTGAACTTGCACATAGTCAAGTTTCCCATAACCACTAATTATAAGGCAGTCGCGCTTATTATTTAGTGCTTGTTCTGAGGTTCCAAATACACAGCTTAGCACTGCAACCTCTTCTGTGCATTAGAAACACCATGATAAAGTGAGACTTCTCTTTGAAAACTAAAATTTGAAGTGGAAAATAGTAGGCAAAATAAAAAATTCAGCAAGGGAATAAAGAGAAAACTGGAGGGATAACATTATGAAAAGGAATGAATAACATCTATCGCTAAATCTGGTTTTGAGAAGACAGAGTTTAAAAGAAAACATATTAAAATTTCATGCCCAAACCTGTCAAAGTACTGACAAGTCTTTCTAAAGCACTGGGTTATTTTCTTATGCATCTAATCTTACTCATTTTGGCAGGTTTCATAAGACCAAATCATAACTTCACAGTGCAGTTCAGCAGTTTTCCCCTGTTGCAAACCATAACTAAACTTGAATGGGAGCACCTCTGCTTCAGCGTACAGAGATTTAAAACAGCACTTTCAAAGAAAGAAGCAAACAGGAATTGTGGGTATCTGCTGCCCCAATTTATCTGCCCTTAAAAATTAAATACCTAAGTCATTCCAATGGCCATAAATGAAATCTCAAGAGATTGGCGCAGTCCTGGGGATCTGTTATGCCAGTAGTTGTTTCAGTTAGGGATTCACTACCCTCTTACTGTAATAAGAGCTCCAGTTTTTCTAAAAACATAAAAATGCCCATGTGACAGAGCACAAAACAAGACATCCTGTTCTTTATTCGTGTACAGGTGACTCCAGCCATTTCACCACAGGTTACAATAAGGGTCTTTTGGTACTGTTATTTATCAGTCCTTTTGGTAATGTTTTTCCAAGTATTGTTAAAAAATCACTGGTCTTAGAAGTCCCTGAAGTGAAAAAATAAGGATTATAACAATTGGAAACATCAATGTTTAATGTAACTCCAAGTCACCAGATGAATTCAAATCAAGATTTTTCTCAGTGCTTCTGAAGTTTTTGTAACACTGTTAGAGGAAAGTGTATGGAGATTTGGCCTGAACTACTGACTGCTACTGTTTCTCTCTCAGATTCCAAAACAACCTCCTTCTGCTAAAAGCTGATATTTACAGAGAAGAAAAAAAAAACAACATGTTGAAAGTAAGCACCTTTAAATGCTCTGAGTTTTAATAAGGACACATGACTTGGTGAGTTTCACACTTAGCAGATTAAAAAAGTATTAAATTTGAATATTTAACTATTCTGAAGCTTAGTTCATTATGAATATTTAACAAGGCTTTATTTCCTACAGACGCAAAAATAAGATGACAGGTATTAAAATACTTGGGAGGTTGGAAACTGTTGGATAGAATTTTTTTTTTCAATCTAGTTGAATCCTTATAAGCCTTATTACAGAAACTCTTGTTACAGGTTTAGCTTGGAACTGATCCTGTTTTGCTTCGTACTAAAAATGAAGTCCTAAACATAACCACAAAAAACACCCTGTTCTACAAAACCAGCATGTACGTAATTCTGCTATTCCCCAGGACTGGAATGAGAGTAAAGTTTGTGATCCTGAATCAGGGAACTTGGGGTTGGATCTCATCTTGGCAATGTTTTTCTGATTCGATCTCGGGTGAGCTGTCTTACCTATGTCTCTGTTGCCAGAAGAGTAAGTTTAAGTTAGTGCTACTTCTATAACTTTCAAGGTGTTGCAAAGCTGAATTATTTTTTGTCAGAAAAATGCCTGCTGTGGATATAAGGTTTAAGTTCAAACTTTTTAAAAGCTACTGCTGAAATTATGCCATTACGTATCTTATACACTAAAGCATGCAGAGGATTTGGATAAAAGTAAGGACATGTTAGCTCTTTCAGAAGCAGTGCAAAACAATGCAGAAGAGTCAGCACATTTCTACGTTTATTTTAACAATATTTGTTGCTCTGCACTAGGAGATCTGTGCCATCCCTGACTGGGACTGGAGTCCCTGACTCTCTGTCCTATGCTGCCTTGAGTGAGACAATCTCTGTTTTGTGGCATTTTGCTTTTCTTGTCTTTTCCCAGAGCAAAAAAGGCAGAATATTTTGGACAGAAAGCCTGAACTGATTTCTGCCAAACACATTGTATCCTGTTGCTGTAGGCAACACAATTCAACAGCTTCGTAATTTAGTACTTTTAAAGGTCAAAAAAATATCTTTTTACCTCCTATTCTTTCATTGTTGTTTATGTATTTTAAAATGAGTGCAACACTGTGAAGAATAATCATCATATTGCCAAACGTGAATAGCTTGTATTTCAATGGAAACTTAGTCTGGGAATTTGACATTCAGATTTTCCACTGACATCATAAAAACAAGCTGAACAGACTTTATATAATTTTTCACTAAGTAGTTCTTGTATGAAATCTGAATTTCCATTTCCTAGGTTTTTCTCAGATTACTATAATTTAGCTTCAGTACCATGACTACAAAAATTCTGACTTCTATAAATGCAAACTTCTGATCATTACTTTTTTCCCCTTAGGCCTTTTGTCTTGTCCTTTTTCCTCCTGTTGAAAGGAAACAAATACAGATTTCTTCTTTCTGAATGAAAGGAAAAGAACAGAAAAGTGCCTACTGCCTACTTGGGAGCTAATCAACTAAGCTTCATAAGGGTGTTTATATCCATTCTCTTAATTTCAATTCAGATAATTGCTACCAACTTAAAGCTCCCTTCACAATAGCCATTGTCTTAAGTGCTATCACCCAAAGGAAAAGGTTTATATAATGGCTATGTGCCCCATAAAGAAGTACAGGGTTTAGAATAAACTTGCCACGAAGAGAGGCCTCATCTCCATCCAACAAGCAGGTCCGTGTGGATCTGTAAGTTTCTGATCCGGTCTGGCCTAATCACACTGCATGATTTAAAGTCACAGTTTGGGGTGAGAGAATTCTTCAAGGATAAGAAATGCACTTTACCAGGCTTTGAGCAAAGACAGCTTTTCAGGAATAAGATCTTTTCAGGTACCCCTTGGAAGCATTTGCTCCTGGTAGTTGTTATTCCCACTCCAGAACATTAGATGTATTTGTATTATTTGTACTAGTGTTTGAGGCCAGGGGTTGCAGCTCAGCTGAACTGTACAAACCCCACCTGGGAAGCAGTGGACTGCTAAAAGCAGAAAGTGCTCTGCCCTGCCAGCACACTACAAGCTGGTCTGTAAAAAGTTTTCTTGGCTGAGACTTTACGTACATAAAACTACCTCCTACTGAATGATTTTGCCCCAACTAGAGATTTGAAGATTTGGAAGAAAGGGCTGGCAGAGGAAAGACCAAAATGGCTAGGTATCCTCAGCATCATCACCTGCAATAGACTTATTTTGCATTCTCTCTTTATACCACCACAAAGATCAAGTGCTGAATCCTCAATGTCCCAAATCCCCACTGCATGCTCCTGCCCTGCTTCCAAGGCTACCAGCTAATCTAGCGTAAATCTGTCTTCAACACAGCTTTCCGCCCTCCACAAGCTGCTCTTCAGGCCAGGGGGAGTGCACAACTGAAACCTGGTGAAACACTCATGGAAGGACCTGAAAGAGTAGGAAGGAAATTGCTGCTGAGATAATGGCTTATCTCTATGGAAATGAAGAGCTCTAACAGGCCAGGCAAGGTGGGATCACCACAGCACAGCAGGTAACCAGAACACTGTGTGGGAAGAGGCAGCATAACTGAGACAAGCTCAGGGCATGAAACCTTGGCCTCAAATCCTGACAGAATGCCCTTCCCAGAAAACTAGCTGGAGTGGCAATAGAATGTCTCTTACTTTACTTAGAAACTGCTTTCTGAGAAATCTCTTCTAATAGAGATCAAGCTAAACTGGTATGGAATGCCTCGTGCATTAAGATCTGGTTTCAACGGCTGCTGCCAAAAATATGTTTTTTCAGAAAATTCCAAGTCAGTTATAATTCCAGTGATCCTGAAGGGTTGCTGACAGACAACAGTGTGAGACTGGCAGAGATAAACCTGATACCAGCTGCTAAAAAATATTGCTAAACTTGAGTGACAAGTAAATTGTTTGCAGGGTTAATATGGTTAAACTCTTCTTCCACTGATGCAAACTAAAGCTGTATGTTGGCAAAATTTTATTTTGCATTTAAATACCGTGATGTTGTGCAAATGCATGATATCCTGAATGTGGTGGCTTTGTGAGATGAGCCCACAGCTGAGTAAGCAGAAAAAAAGCTAGGGTTAGTGCAGCTATAAAGTAAAGGTTGTTTATGGAGATCATCGGTATGACATGTGCTCGACAGTATTGGTAAATATGAGGGTTTTTATAAAGGACAGAATGTAAAGAATGTCCATAAAGGGCATTAGAAAACTACTTCATGAGCAGCAACTCTGCTAGCAAGCAAAAGTACAAGCTTTTTGTCTGTTCTTCACAGACATTTTGCTGTAGCAGAACTCCCTCTTGAGAATGAAAACTCCCATAAAATACAGCTGCAGCAACACATTTATAAAAGCAGCTATTCAGTCAAATATGACTGAACTGAAGCTTGACTCGCATCCAGCTTTTTCTTGAATACAAATGAGCACCGAATTCCAGCATACTTACAGCCATAAATTACATTTTCAATTTAGCTGGGGTTATCTCATTTCTTTCAACTGTCAAGGTTTACAATACAGTATAAATGCATTACACACAAATAAGTCCTACTCTTTCTCTGTGAAAGCTGTTGCTGCCCACGGACTGGCTTCCTGACAATGAGTACCAGTCAAAATGTGGAAAACACCGCTCCTTTCATACTCGCCACTGTTTAAAACAGTGACAGTATCTACGACAGCAAATTGTGTCAAGCCTGAGAAGTAAGAAAATATAAATAGGTACCTTTCTTGGTACAGCAGAAGCTGTTCCCTCCGATCTTTTCCTGTGCTGCTCTGCTGTGGATTTTATAGAATAAGAGTCCAAGAGCCTGCAGTATTCAGTCCCGTTCGATCACATCACAGGAATAGCTTATCAGTCCTGTTACAAGACTCTAAAAGGAGCGGTGTCCTTTTCTCCAACTCCTCCTTTCACTGGTTTCTGCGCTCCTTAAAGGTGCTCAGTGCTCTAATAACCCTAGAGAAAGCTGTTCATCTGTCCCCTAATGACAGTGTTCTTGTTACTTAGTTACAGCACAGTGAATGCTGACAAAGTCAGGTATGAGCCAAATCTGCACTCAGTGTAAATGCATTGTGTTCAATCAAGCAACTCCAGGAATGAATTTAGCCCAAGGGATTCAGTTCTTTTTTCAGCTCAGATGTGGCATGCCTCAGCCAGTGCAGAATTTGTAGAAACAAGACCTAGGCATGTGGGTTAAATATAGAGTTCTGCTGGAGGGAGGAGAAGTATGTATACCAAATTGCTTAACAGCAACTACAGAAGGAAGTGCAATCAATACATTATAAATAGTACATTTGAATTTGTGGAGCTTCTAGGTGGAAAAATATTCTGCTACAAACAGCTCTAAGATAAAAGGATTATTCTAATAAGCCTTGTCGTCAGTTTGACTGTCTATACTGTTTCCTTCGAGGCAGAAACAATATAACCAAGCTGCAATTAAACTGCACCATAAAAGAAAATATTAAGAAAAAAAAAACAAAAGCCAAACACAATGTGGTGGAAGTTCTCTGCTGTAATCTCACTACAAAACTCAAACCTAGTTAGCAAGTGTTTGAAAAGCTCTAGCCTAGAAACTTTTAAAAGATTTTAAGAGTTTGTATTACATGTGGCAAAAACAGGAACTGAAGATATGAAAACAGGCTTCGTCACATGATGGGGGAAGTCCTTGAAAGAATGAAGAACTACCTGAGAGCCCTTTAAGTGGATGAATTGCATAAAGAATTGTGGGAAAATGAGGTAGGTGAAGATCAAAGTGTTTTTAGTAAGTTAACAAAACATAACTAAGACCCTGCATTATAGCACAGTACTTAATACAGAATAACTTTGAAGTATCCCTCCCATGTATAACAGAGATTTAGTTCAACAAATAACTTTGTTGTAACCTAGACATCAAGAAGAACAAAGGATGAACTAAGCAATACTGCACTCCAGCTTCACTGACAGTAGTTTCCTACCTGATCAAAAGCTGGTTCTGAAAGCATGACAGGTTAAAGCATGATACCTGATGCCACCCACAGTTAACATTAACTAAGAATTTCTTTTACTGCTGCTCTGTGGAGAAACGAGCTTAAACCAGCCAAACTTATTCTATGCACTGACCTGATTCTGTAAGCTATTCTTTGGAGCCATCCTAGCAGTTAACTATAGCTAGCTGTGAACTGGTGGGTGGTATCAGCCCAGCTTATACCCAGGAGCAGAAATTTGTACCAAGACTTACCAGATTGAGCAGTGTCCTCTGACAATGCTTTTAAAAGATTTTGAACCTTGAGCTGAATCATATTGTTCAGGCTAAAAGCATGGGAGGAGAAAATTTGCTTCTGCGTGCCCACAACTGTTTACTTGGATGATAAAGGCTGTGCCTGCAGAGTAACCCTTTCTGTTGTCTAGATATTTAACTAGCTAAGTAAAAATGCATGAATGGCAATAACTGCAAATTAGATAAAGGCAGAGGTTCAGTTAGTTAAACCACCCAAACTGTGAGATAATGTCCATAAGTTGCTTCCAACTTAATAGAGAGTTGAACATTTGTAATACATTATTATGGGATTTTTTTTTTCCTCCAAGGGAAGTTTCTTTGGTAGGATGTTAAACATTGGCTTATGCCTTTATTTAAAACACCTTTTTGCCCAAGGCAGTGCCTATATATGTATGGATTTTTTGTAAGTTTCTATTAACAATACTACAAGCTCCAGATGTATAAATTTATACCATGTTCACATGACTTATCCTTGTCTAGATCGTAAAAATTTACCCCGACAGTAATACATCCAGGTCAGAGAACTGTGGACAGCTATAAATATCTCAGGTTTTTATAAATTTTTACATTGTACAAACACAATTTTTGTTTGGGGACAAGATCTTAAAAGATGGATTTGATACTGCAGAACATCAGGATCCTGCATTCACAGGGCACATTTATAGGAAGATGTAGACCCAGCATGTCTTAGCTTGGGAGCAACATCACACGAATGACAGCAGGTCAGAATAACTGACTAGTTCACACTGAATAGCTCTGACAGTTGACAGAGTTCAGCTCAGATCTGTTTGTACAAACTTGAGTAGACACTGCTAATGTACAGACCTCCCAGTCTCAAATGCAGGCTACACAGCTGCCATCACGTGGTGCAATGTGGCCATGCTATCCCCACTTGCTGTGCATAGCACGGAGCTAGAGCCTTCCCAGTAAATCCACGCCTGGCATAACAACAAATGGCATTCCCTTCTTCTAACAATTCTGACCAAAGACTGTTTTTTAAAAGGCTAAACAAAGGGAGACAGGAGAGCTAGCACATTATCACAAACCCCACAGATCATGTGAAACAATGAGTGGAAGAAAATTCTTTTGAGCTTGCATTTTCAGAATAGCAGGAGGGATTTTCTTTTATGTGAATTTGCTGTTTTCCACAGTCAAATTGGTTTCTCTTCCTGAGAACATGTAAAAGAGGAATTTTGAGAAAGGAAGCATCACTCTTGTATGAATCAGGAAACTGCCTGAAGATATCTAAAATAGGAAATAGCTAAAAGAGAAGGAAGATGGCTAGCAAAACTGTACTCTAAATTTTAACAAATAATACAAGCAATTAGACTGGCTTGTATTTATTGTGTATCATAAAAGTTATCATGTAGGCTGAAAAAGAACACCCCTTCCTGCTTTCAAAGGCTTCATAACTCCTTATGAAAACTCTGAAGCTCAGTTAAACCTACCATATTTCTGTCTTTTCTCCCCTCACTTTTTTGGTAACACATGTTGAAGCATTTGAACAAAGTTAAAATTTGAACTTGTGTTACTTGAAGCTTCATCTGTTTCTGCAGTTTTTTCCCCTTACTTGCAATCAATTAGTTGTTTAGGAAAAGCTATGAACAGAAGATCCTGTGTTAAGGAAGGAAGGAATAAAATAGCATAGATTAAATTCTGAATAACAACGAGTCCTACTCTCAGACAAATTTCTCACAATAAAAAAAAAGCAAACCAAAGGGGGAATAGCAACAAAGCTGAAATGTTAAACTATTGCTGTTGGTTTATGAACCTGTGCACAAATGTTTCCAGCACAGGAAACACTTTTAGCTGAAGGATATATTATTTGTAATAGGATGTCTTTCTGGGCACTTAGCTTATATTAAAATGGTTGGTTTTCTCTTAGAACTACATTTTAAAATGGAATTTAAATTATTATCTCATGTAATTCTGTCATGTGTGTAACTTTTCTTAGGTTACTCAATGTAGTTGGTTTAGATACATTTACAGACCTTACATTAAAATTTATTAGGTACTGGCATATGATATTTGTCCCATCCTAACAAAATGTTGTAAAATCTTTAGAATTCATATGGAAATCTGATTACCACCTTGATCTCATAAACCAACATTAGTCACCATCTTCCTTTATCAGATTGACTGAACTCTCCTAAAGGATGATTTGTCAAAGCTCTTCAAAGCAGCTATCAAAAATGCAGAAAAATACAGTGGAGTTGGATTGTAAGTAAACAGCCAAAGATTTCTTTGTGCTAATGAAAAGCGATACCCAATAAAATGTAATATTGGAAAATTCTAGCTATACAAGTCAGTTAAGAAGCCTTAAATAAAAGTGATAAACATGCTCCCGTTTACCCAGGATCTGTGTCTTTAAATAAGGATCCTCACTTGCCAGCATAACCCCCACATTCGAATGCTATCCACATATTTTGCAATTTGAATCATTACAAGTTTTTACCTTACTTTGAAAAAGGTCTAAGGACTGGTGTCCACCCCTCCCCTGCTACCATTTGTTCTGCCCTTTTTGTAGCTCTGGGACATGGTTCTCACAGTTGCTAGCAACTATGTCACTGTTTTCACTTTTGTATTCACCATTTGACCTGCCTTTCTTCCATATGCTTTTTCTCTCCATTCTCTTTCCTCCTATAAAGACACCATGCTACACGCTAGTGGAGGAACAACATGAGCAAAAGAAAAAAAGGGGGTAAAATCAATCACAGGAGAGCTGGTAAGAACCCAAAAAGTCCTACTTCATGTACAGATATCTTAGTTCAATCAGTGATCCAGTACAGTTCACTGACAGTCATGTAAACTGGTCATTAAGTCATGCCACAAAATGCATCTTCTGATATAAATCATTTCCCACCCCACCCACTAAAAAAGCAGTGATGTGATGACTTCCTAGGATAGTATCTACCTGACAGCTCTCTTCTTTCCCCCACTCTCCCAGGCTGCTAATCTAAGAACATAACACCATGCCAGAAAAACAGGAAAGACAAGAAGATGTATTTGAAAAGTAAAAATTTCTAAAATGTTAGGTGGAAAAGGCATTTGGTCCTGGTTGTCTTCATGAGGAAGAATTTGAGTAAGCCATTGATAAATGTAACAAAAGGTATTTCATATGAAGGAAAAAAGTAGAGAATTCCAAGCTGTCCTTAGACTAAATTAAAAAAGAAACAGTCTGCCTGTTAACAGAACCAATTAATGCCTCACAAACCCCCTATTTTTGTTGAATGGATTTATATACATACACAGTGGTGTTTCCTTTGCACTTTTAATACCACACTAAGTACATTGAATAAACATCTCCCCTTGGAAATAAACCAAACCACATCTAATGTATTAAGTTAATTTATGACTTTAAATATGAGTAGCTACAACTGACAAAATTCTGTGGAAATATGATGTTAGGTCTGATAGCTATCTTGTAAGAAGGTTTTTTAATCCCAAACTTTGAAAAAATATGCTTTCACTGCAGAAATGCAATGCTTTATGTAAATGATTCCTAATACTAAAATGCATTTTCCACTAAAGTACGTAATGCTTGCTTTTTTAAAAGAAGATATATATTTATGTAAAAAAGTTATTTCACTAATTACTCTGATCAGCTTAATGCTAACCACAAAAGAATTAAGAGACTAGAAAGGTATAGGAGCTGAGCCAAAGACACATTAGAAACAACACCTGATAACCAGAATCTGCCTCTGATCCCTGAGAAAGGTTTTTCAAGTGCAGCACAGACATACTGCTCAGTGCTGACTGCAGCAGATGTCAGCAGCTACTCCTTTTTTTGATACTGTCACCATGAGCAAAACCTATTCCTTGTTGCTGATATCTGCCTCTGTCAGTCTCAGTGAAGAAGCTTGTGAGAATGTGCAAGAACAAGCAGGGTGATGTTACACAGATTTTGTACTTTCCTCTGAAGATGGCAGTTGTGATGGGAACGCCTTAGCCTGTGGAACTGCACAGTGCTTCATCCTTAGCTGTGAGATACAGCCAGAGGGCTGGTGACACCCCAGCTTCACATGGTCTGGCAGTGGCACAGAAGCGCCTATTGATAGGTCCAATTCCCAGATGACTTAAGGATGCCAAGAAAAAGCAACTGTGTCACATTCAAGTTAGAAAAGCGAGGGTGTGTGCTGATGTGTTTGGGAACACACAGACATCTAAAAGAAGCTACAATCTTGACACTGCTGCATAGGCTCTGGTTCACAGACTCCAAGCACTGGAGAAAAGATGATCAGTAATGTTAGCGTACAATGTGGTTGTTACAATGGATACTTGGCCAAGTTCCTATCCTTAAAAGAGTTCAGAAGCATTACTCCAAATTTATCAATTCTTTCCTAAACTGTCACTGTAGGTGCTGTTTAAAGGTAACCTTTTCTATCTACATTTAAGGCCTTTTCTTATTAGCAAAACACAGTAATGCTGCAGGGACATTTCTTTACATAAACTTGTTTTTTGTTTGGGGAGATTTAATTCTACCCTTGATCCTACATGTCTGAACTAAATGCTGTGTGAAGAGCACATGTTCAACACTGCCTGATTCAATTCAGAGTAGTGGCTAAAATGAATAGTAAGACAACTTTGCAGTTAAGTACCTGAAAAGCATAAAAGATTACTGAGTAAGCTGGAGGTTTCTTTAATTCAAAGGCCTCTCAGTATGCTCTTGTCATGTCTGTCCACTGCTGCTGCAGTGGGTAAGAGCATTTTTAGTTATTTATTGATTAGTGCTGCAGGAGGCAACAGAGAGGGAGTTTGCCTTTTTTTTGTTTACCAGCAGTGACACTGGACAAGTCATCAATTCATTTACTAAAGTGACAGTAATTTCTGTTTCGTGTATTTTCAGACATTAATGAAGAAAAAACAACCAGACCTACACTGGAGGTGATGTTAGTTCTACAAGACCTGGAGTACATGAATTTCCTGCCGTTTCTCCTCAGCTAAGGACCAGGTGATGGTTTCTGAAACACAATGGTTGGATGCTGCCCCCTTGTGAGCCAGGCCCTTGCTAGGAACCAGCTGAACCAGGACTGCCTGAAACGTTTTTCTGCCGCCTGCACCCTCTCACTAAGAAAAAGTGGCAGATTCCTTGTCCCAGACTCCAATTTGGCTATTTAGCACATACGAGTCTACGTACAGCAGCAAGCTGGGTCACTACTGTGCTTCAGTAAAGGCCAACAGCCAGTAAATCTGAATGAGAAAGACCTTGATCCCTGTGGCATTGCTCTGACCAATGCTTACTTTGAGGCCTTTCACCTTAGGCTGCCCCAATACATACAAGCATTAGTAACTCAGCACTGCCCTCGGTTAATCAACATCTGGCATGTTCACAAGGAAAGGAGATGCTGCTGAAGGCTGTGAAGCATCAGCAGTGCTCTGACAGGTCATCCACTGCAGGTATCTGTACCACTGGTTAAACCCTGTGTTAGAGCTGGTTGTGCTGGCCTGGTTCACTGACCTGTGTAACACGGCCTACTCCGCCATTTTGCTTGAGGAAGTTCCCTCAGACCCAAGTCCCTGCTGTCTGCTCTCAACCCTGAACAGATCTTAGCCACAGGAATAAAAACTACATCATTTGTTGTCTGTAATACCTCATGGAAGGGAGAGGCTTTATTCAAACCACCTTATCAGAGGCTTTTAACTTTCAGGCTGCATCTGAGGAAGGAGTGGTGTTCCAGTGGGGTATGTAGTTCCAGAGGGGAAACAAACAAGGCTCTGAATATTGGTAAAGGTTCTGTGCAGTTGCCGTTTTCCTCTTCTTTCCCGTAACGCCCTCCCTGAACCCCTTTTGCAGCAGCATCTCGGAGGGAACGCAGTCAAGCAAAATGTGGGTTTTTTTCCCTTCCAAACGTCTCATTTAAACGCAAATGAGCTTGTCCAACGCCAGACACTCTGCCTGCTTCTGAACAGGCCTCCCGCAGCTCTGCCGCGGCTCCAGAAGCCGCAGCCCAAGCCCAGGTCGAGCGCTCCCGCCAGCCGGGAAGCGGCCGCCTCACCTCAGCGCCGCGGGGGGGGCGGCCCGCGCCGCGACCCTTGCTCTCCCCTCACACCCTCCGGCCCTCCGCCGCCCTCACCGACCCGCCGACGCCGCCCTCCACTCAGGCGCTGCTCGGGCACCTCGCAGGGGTCCTGGCTCGGCGCAGGGGCCCTTTGCCGTACAGCATGGCGACGCTGTGGCGGAGGCGGGAGCGTCTCCTGGGAGTGTCAGGACGGCTCTGCCGTACAGTGCGAGCCCTCTCAGGTACGGGGTGCCCGCTGGGCTCAGGGCGGGCAGAGGCCGCGCCTCCGCCTTTTCTCGCGGGGAGCCCTCTCCTCCTGACGCTGAAAGCCTACTAGAGGGGTTCCCCCGAGCTCTTCCCACCCCCCGCACGCCGGGAAGCGGCCCGCAGACGCTCTGCTTGAGCCGCTACTGGAGGCGGCACTCTCCTCCCTCAGCGGCCGAGGAGAGGAGGGTGGCGAAAGGCTTCCAGCCGTAATGGCTTTCGGCGCCCCCTTAGCCCCGGTGCGTCTCTCGGAGCCCGTCCCTCGGTCCCTGCATTGCTGAGGGAGTCTCGGGCCGCAGGTGGCTGTGAAGCGGGCAAGGCCCTCTGCGCCCCTCTGTGAGGCTTTCTGGAGATGTAGTGGGGCAGCCCAAAAGTCAGCCAAACCTTTCACTCAGGCTTAACTTCAGCGTCAGGGGAGTGTCAGCCTTCCCAGTCCAGTGTCCACTTGAACTGCCAAGAAAAGTCCCCCAGCCCTGTGGTGGCACAGCTGTCCCCCCTGACAGCTCTGAAAGCAGGGGTTGTCCTGGTACCCTTGCTGAAAACTGAGTTATCGCTCACCTGCCGGCTTCTCCTGCAGCTTCAGAACAGCTCTGGGAGAGTGAGCTGCTCTGGGGGAAGGCTGAGGTGCCAGACGTGCCAGCTTCCCTCTGAGCCACACACCACACCCCTGCGAGGCCTACACTGCAGCTGAGGCTTTGTTAGTCTGATAAAGTAACCCTGATGAAACATCTTTGTGTAGAGCTTAATGTAATATAGAGGCAAGACCTGTACTGGATGTCAGTTGCAACCGTCTAATCATGCAGAAGGAGCTTCTTAGGGCATTGTGTAAAAATCTAATCTATTTCCTCACTTCGTTTTGATTGCTTTATTTCTGTATTTCATTCATAAATCCAGACTGCAGAGCTTAGTGATTTTTTTTGAGAATGCTTTGGGACACTGAAAAAAATACAGTGCTCTAGTAAAGAAAACCTAAATCATCAATAATCAATTGTAAACAGTAGTGTGTTTTTTGATACCTTTTACCATCTTCCTTGCCTGTTCATTTTCCTTCATTTTTCACATCTATTTCACAGGAAAGAATGAGTATGACCTTCTGGTAATTGGTGGAGGGTCTGGAGGCCTTGCTTGTGCAAAAGAAGGTTTGTATGTGTAAATAACAAAGAGTTTAGTTTTAGCTTAAGTAGTGGTTACAGAGACTAAGGGAAGTGTTAGTGATAATGCTAAGCTTTTTAATAAACATACTATACTTCAGTCCCTGCACGTTAATCATTAACTCAGCTCCATAGTTAATCTACAAATGAATTCACACCTTTGGGTGGGTTGATCTTGTTTGGCTTTCCTATTAACCTTTAAAAAGTATTTCTTTTGTCCTGGGAAGGTGTGATAAGCTTTTATTTCACTGTTATTGTAAAATACTCTGAGTGCCTCCATAGGTGCTATATGTTTTAACTATACTGTTTCTTATTTATGTGTTAAAACGACAGTCCCTTCAGACTGTTTCCAGGAGCTGTGTAACTGCTGTAGAGAACCTTGCCCCTTTGCTACTCAGTGTAATGAGCCCAAGAACCCACAGGTGCCTTAACCATCTTCATTTGGGGTCAGATTGCATTTTGGGGGTTGGTGAAAGCTGGAGGCTCTAGTCTAGGTTATTAAGTGCCTTCTGGAGAATCTGTTGACTACATAGGCAGCCTGGATTCCTAATCTGGCATCTTGAGTTAGATAGTAAAACCCACCAGCTGTCATCTCCTATACTCTTTATCTTCATACCTGTGCTACTAAAAATATCTAGCTTTGTGTGTTTTTCCCTTCTCTAAATACCTTATCTTGTTTTTTGTTTAAAGCTGCTCAATTTGGAAGGAAAGTGGCTGTTTTGGATTATGTGGAACCTTCTCCACAAGGTATGGAAGAGAAATACTAGGAGAATATTTGGAAATGTGTATAAAATGGTTGCCTAGGTGAGCACATTGCTCCAGGCAGCATAGTGGCCAAACCCAGCCTGTTTGATTTGCTTTTAGTAAAACTCCTTAAGCATGGCTTGTTGTACTGCTCATTCCTTCCAGTGATGTCCCAGCTCTGCCTGCATCCCCTGCACATAAAGGTGTGTTTAATATTACCACTTGAGGTAGTCTTTGGACTTAAATATGTGAGAATATTCTGTCAAAGTGTCATTTATGGTTTCTAAAAATTATAAATTTTGTCATGTTGAGGCTGTTAATGTACAATATGTAAAATAAGATCTGCAAATGCAGATAAACAAATATGTAGTAACTGGATCTTCAGAGCTCTGAAAAACATCTTGAGATGCTTTGAATTTTAGAAGAAAAATACATAGAGGTGTGTTTTATTAAAACAAATGAACGTAAGCAGAATTAGAAACTGATCTGTAGGAGACAGTGAACTGTGTTATTTCAGAACTTTTAAACTAATTGCATGAACAACCTAATTCTCTAAGTAAGCCAACTACATTAAGTTACACTAACCTGATGCATTTACTCTTCCTTTCTTTCTTTTTTTTTTTATTTCCAAGGAACCAAATGGGGACTTGGTGGAACTTGTGTGAATGTTGGCTGTATTCCTAAAAAGCTTATGCATCAAGCAGCCCTTTTAGGGAGTGCCCTTAAAGATGCCCAACACTATGGCTGGAATATAGCCCAACCTGTTCATCATACCTGGTAAAGATTATTGCCCATATCCACTCCTATGTGCTGCAAATGCCTAACAACTTTTCCCAGTTGGTGTTTATTTAGGGACAGCTGGGGAAATTAATTTTGCATGAAGTTTTTTAGGCTGCTGCTCGTTTAAAACACAGGTCTGTATTTGCTGGTTTATCAGGGCAGATACATTGATTTGGATTTGATAATTTACTTTTGTTACAAAGCACTGTGGAGCATTTTTAGTATCTAGCAACTGCCTATATCTTTGAGTAACATAATCTGAATTTGTAACACCATGACTTCATGTTCAATTTCTTGGTTTGTGATAGGTCTGTGATGGCACAAGCTGTTCAGAATTATGTGAAATCCTTGAACTGGGGACACAGAGTGCAACTACAAGACAAGTAAATAAAACTTTACAGTTCATCTTTCTTCTCACAGTCAGGAAGCTGCTCTTCTCTTGGCAGAATTGCTGAATTGCCTTTGCAGTTTCTTACTAGAGCTAGTATTTTTTTCTGGGAAATAGTAGTTGGAAGTGACCATGAAGCTTTCTAACAGTTTAGTGATCACAGAATGCTCTCTTGAATCTGAAGAGGTTTTGCATTAATATGAAGTAGTCAGGACTTTTTCAACATAATTTCAAGCTTGTCCATGAAAACTTATATGTCATACAAGCCCACAGATAACACTGTACCAGAACAGCTGGGGTTCTTGCTTCCAGTGCAGAAAGATTTTCAGCAAAAAGAGAAATTATTAATTTAATAATATATTAATTTGACAGGTACTAGTCTTGTGATTCCTGCTGAGTCCCTACTGTGTGCCCTCAAATGTGCGTTATATTAGTAATGTTATAGATAGCAATGCTATGGACTGTGGAAAATATATCATTTGAAGAGGTTAGTAACCTGATCCCAAACCATGTTATGGTTAGGTACTCTGCTGTGTAGAGGAGTTAACTGCTGTACAAGAATTAAGTGACAAATTATGTGACAGAGCTGCAAAGATGAAATAAGATGTTTGCTTCCTTTTACTTCTCTTATCTGTTTGATGTCTTTCTTAGCACTTCAGATATAGAAAAAAGTAGCTGATTGTATTTCCTTTATATTCATTGTTAAGTGTGCATTTACGTTACTGTTTTCTTCTAAACAGGAAGGTGAAATATTTCAACATGAAAGGAAGTTTTTCTGATCTGCATACAATCCGTGGTTTAACAAAAGCAGGTAAAGAGGTGAGCTACTGTGCTGTGAACTTGTAGCTGCTGTGCTGTGAACGTGAGCTGCTGTGCTATGAACATTCACTTCAAATAATTAGGTCTTCATGTGTTGGTTTTCAGGCCAGTGGAGAGCTAGACTGTACTTCTCCAAGTTGTTTTAGGTATTGAATATTATTTTGGTGAGGAAAATGTGCATTTTCCACCAAGAGAAGATGTTTATGAACTTGACTGTTGCCTACTGAGTCCCTAGCCTCTAACCTGTCAGATGCCATTACTTTTTCACTGCAAGTGGAAATACTGAGACAAGAGATTATTTTCTTTTGGTCAGAGGCATACTGCTTTGATAGATGCTTACAGAGATGTGAATAGGAGCATCATCATCTAATGGCTCTGAGCATTAGATCAGTCTGAGACGTTTTCTCCCTTCAGCTGAATTACAAGCTTTCTAATACAAAACTGTGTGTGGGAGGCAATTATATCGAATGCCCAGCTTCAAGCAACTGGGTGACGTAACAGAATGGTGGCCATTTCTGCATATCTAACAAGAGACTGAATATGCATTTTAACACCTTTGGGGGGAAATTGTATAATGTTACTAGTTAATACTGGCTTGAGAGAGCAGAAGGTTTTTGGGGTAGATGCCTAGCATTTTCTAAAAACATGCCACTTTTGAAGTAGCTTAACTCCAGGCCCTAGAGGCAGAATTCACTTGCTGTGATCTCTGTGTGTTTTGCCCCGAGCAAAAATGATTTTAAAAAGCTGCCATTTATCCACCACAGCTGTTGCTTCCAAGTAGTCATCAGAATCTTACCCAGTGTAGGAACAATTGTAAGCTGATGTTGAAACAAAAACTGATACAGAATGTGCAGGGAAGCACCTGCATGTGCTTATTTTATCTCCATCCTTTTTTAGTGTATTACTTGATTATTATATAAATAGCATGCAGTAGTGCCAGCTTTTCATTTATCACTCTTGTACATACATAAAAAACAGATGAAATTATTTCAAATGCTTGATTTTTATTTTGTGTGTTTGTTCATAGACTATTATTACTGCAGAAAATATTGTCATTGCTACTGGAGGAAGACCAAAGTATCCTACACACGTAAGTTACACTTGCCATGTAACAAGTCCAATGGCTTTACTGGTTTTGTTGCAGATGATAATGAATATTTGGAGGATAAAGATTGTAAATATAAAGTAAGACTTGAGAGATTTTTGAACTTGTGTGAAAAATTGTCTTTTATATAAAGCATAAGCTTTTCAGAAAAACATTTCCATAGAAAACAATTTGCAACAGTTTAAGTATATTAATCTTGCTTAGAGCTGAAGGATAATTCAGGTTGGAAGGGATCTCTAGATGTCATCTACTTCAGCCTCCTGCTCAAGAAGGTTGGGGGTCAGCTATTGAGTGATCTGTGAGGTCAGATCGTGTTGCTTAGGACTTTTTGCAGTCAGGTTTTGAAAATTTCCAAAGATGAAGGCTGGATATCTGTGCATCCCCAGATATATTCCCCTTGGTCTACTGGCTGTACTTCATCTAATCAGTCCAAGTTGCTGTTATCTTTATTTGCTGCCAGGACACGTATTGTTGATTCAAAATCTTAACTGTGTGATCACAGATCGCAGGTGCACGAGAGTATGGAATCACAAGTGATGATCTGTTCTGGTTAAAAGAATCTCCTGGAAAAACGTAAGTTATCTTACGATGGCTTTTATAGATGCTGGTATTTGTACCCTTTCTTCATGGCAAGGTGAAAAATGTTCAAAATTGCCTTCTGTACACCAGTTTTTCTGTCCTTTTGTCCTTCTTCTGAGAATTTGTCTTGCTATGCGTCAACATCACACTACCAAACTTCATTAGTAACTAATAATTGGCCACAGCCCCCACCCCGGAAATTCCCTTCTAAAATCAAATTAAATACAAGCTTTCACCAGTTTTGACTTAAGGGAACTTGTGGGCTGTAGCAATTATACCTGGAAGTCACAAGAGGGCAGCATAAACTTAGACGAAGGGTGTACTGTGCCTGTTCTTTGATACGGGTCTGTATGAAATCGCTCTTCAATTAGGAAAGAAACTTCAGCACTCTTAAGTGTTGCCAGTTCTGATAACAAAAGAAAATACAGTGAGACAATTGGGTTGCTTTTGCCTTTTCTTATGCCTTGGGAGCTACTTTTTAACTGAAATACTAAAAAATTGTCTTTAATGGAAATACTGAAATGCCATAGTTTTGTTTCTCACAGCACATAGTGCAGTAAGATTCCGAGTTAACTTTGCACTGCAGGACAATTTCCTGATCCAAATAATTGTGATAGGAAATACACATTTTCTAGCATGGGAGTCAGATAATACTTTTTTTTTCTCTTTTCTCTATTGAGCAATTCTAGAAAAAACAAAGTATATAAAAGAAAAAGAAGTGAAACTATAATGCTGGTGTTCTGAATGAAAACAGAGCTACCATTCATGGCTGTGACTTTCTAATATAAAAAATGCACTGTGTTAAGCTAAACATCAAATAGATAAACAAGGCTCCTTGGTACAGTTTGAAAAGCAAAGTAATTTTGCTGTTGTTTGTAGTATATCAGTCACCTCTTGAATTTCGAGCGTGTGATTTATGTGAGGAATTTAAAAAAACCAAACCAAAACACAAAACACACCCCCCCCCCGAAAAACTAAACATAAGATTTATCCTGTAAGATGTTTCTGTGAAAATGTGGCTTTTGTCCAGTTACTGCTAATGCAAGTTGTAACAGTGTAATGTGGGAGTCGAGTGTTTATATGTTGCATTCCTGAGATTTAGTCAAAATAAGCCTGCAGGGGCTACAGTAGCATTTCTGTGCTTTATCAGGCTGTGTCCTAGCAAATGAAGGAGGGAGTTGTTGAAGGTTTGTTTCTGTCGGATTTGTTTCTATTATAAATATTCCCAAGGTTCAGTTTAACACCTTTTGTTTTTAGTCTGAGATGTGTTGTACTTACTCTTTCTTTTCTTCCTTTCCAAATGTACATATCTCAGCTACAAATTACATGCCTGGGGGTTATAGAACTGTCAGTCCTGCAGTTATTCATATTAAAAAGAAAGCAAACCGTTAAACAACTTAAAAGTTCCTTAGATATACAAATAGTGTGAAGAAATTCTCGCTACTGAGATGAAGGCTTTTGGCAGAGTGAGTTAGAAAAGATGCCTTGAAATATGTTCAGAATGAATGCGAGATTGAGCAGGTGTGAAGGAGGTTAGGTTCTGCTTTCTTAACTTTTCTGTTAGACACTGACAATGCCCAGGAACCCTCTACTCTGTAGAAGAAATTGTGAATAATGTGGGGCTGATATTATGAGTGCCAGCTGGCATCCTATTTTCATCTAATGAGAAAGAAGAGCAAACATATGCCCACATTACAGATATTCTCATCCTACTTTCTATTAATCTCCAATAGATAGCTCTTCATGGGCAGCATGTGGCTTTTTGCAGCACTTCACAGGAGATACATACTTAAAGAAAGGGTGATCATCCATCCATTCGCAAATGGATCAGATGCCCTAATGCTGGTGGAAAAATTTATTTCCTCCTACGTTAAATTGTTTGCCAAATGTAAAACCCAGACTAGCAGATTTTAATCTCTCTAGTTCAACTTGTTCTCTGTACACCTTCAGAAATTGTATGTTTTTATTATAGGATAGATAGATGTTATCTAGTGTCTTTTGTGAGAAAATGTGTTGTACTGACTCTGCAATCCCTGGGGCTTATGAAGCAGCAGCCCCCATGTCTGCACTGCACTTCTCAGAAGTTTAAAAGCACCTCTGTTATAACTAGGAAATGGTGCAGGTTCGTTTATGGTAAGATATAGGCCACAGGCCAGTGTTTCATGTACTATTTTGCTCTGCTGTCAGCACAGTATAGACTGTGTATAAAGAGATCTGTAAGTATTTGACTTGTTTCTCTCTTGCACTATTGTGAAGGAATAACTTTCCTAGGGATGTGTGTCTAGTCAGTGGCAGGGCCAAAACAAAAAGCCAAATTTGCTGTCTATAGAGCTCCACTATGCCTCTAATGTTTGTTTTTAGTTGCCATACATGTTCACATATAAAATATTTTAATTTTCAAAAGTTCTTAATGTTCTTCTATGAAACAGATTTCTGTCTTTGTGAGCACGTATACCAATACTTTTCCTGATAACAGGGCGGGGGGAGGAACATTGCTTTGTAAGTTTGAGTTAAAACTGCTGAATGACACCTCCTTATAAAGGGACTGCAATGAATGAACCACTTTGTGTTAGCCTCCAGTTTGTGTGTGGTTTTGCATGGATTTAAGGTTTTATATTTATTTTGTGAAGCACCACAGTAGTGTATGCTACTTCAGCCATGAATCAAGCAAAACCCAGAATACAAACCAGTGTGGGATGTGTAGGCCGTGGGATGATACTTCACATTTGTTCCCCTTGTGATTTTGAGTTTGTATTTTGGTATTTCAATAAATTTCAAAATTCAGGTAAATTCTAGCTTTCCAAAACATAGTTAGCAAACTACTTCTTCCATACCCCAAAATCCAAAGTTCTTTTTTTAACTTTTGAATATGCCTTTTAGAGAGACCTGCTTTAAAAAAAAATGCCCAAAATAAGTGGAAAAAAATGTGCCAAATATTCAGGTGGATTCTGCATCTTGTGGGGGTTTTAGTTGCTGTTTTTTGATAAAAAGTTCTTAATAAAGCATGGGGATGAAAGTTCTTTATAAAACATGCATTTCCATAGGTGACATTCATAGTCAGAAAGAGCTTAACATTCCACACTGTTCTCATAGTAACTAGAAATTTTGATTCCTAATGATGCTTTTTTTCCTAATTCAAAAACTTAACAAAAGACTTTGTTGTAAGTGGAAATATTATGTGGAATGCATTGACAAACTGTGAGATTTTAGTAAGTCTGCATAATGCATGAACAGCAAAGGAATGGGAGTGCAGCCTGTCTGGCACCTGAGTGTCAGTTTTCTTAAAAATAATTAAAAATATGTATTTAATAAATACGACACCTCTAGAAATTTTGAGATACAATGAAGTCTGACAAGATGGCTGCACATCTCTGTATGTTGCCCACTGTCTCAGAGGCAGTGCTGCTGAGATGCTGCAAAGATGAGGTATCAGCAGCAATAGGCACTGTGGGAAAAACCTGTCAGTGTCCACTCCAGATGTTTCCAACAGAGGTGTTTCATAGAAAGCAATTGAAATATTTGTGATATCTCTTAACATTGCTGGTTTCTCTTGAGCTGTTTATGGCTTTTTTCACTTTGTCTTTCCGAGTATGTGTTTAAGTATCTCTTTACAATATAAACCCAATTCTTTATGTCTTACAAGCCTGTTCTTTTTTTTTTATTCTGTTAAAATAAGCCCACCAGCTGGTAATACCTCTGTCTGTGGCAGTGGACAAGCCCTGCTCTTTCTTTCTTTCTAACACCTCCGCCACATCCACCCCTCAAACCTGTAGTTTTGTAACTATACATACTTCAGAAAATTATTTTTGGTTGTGCAGAGATATGCATAAGCTTATTTCACTGCTTTATTCTTTTTTTCTTTTTATGTAACAGGTTGGTTGTAGGAGCCAGCTGTATCCTTTGAAAAAGCTGTGATGATTTATGATTATAAGCAGCGTAGCTGTCTTTCCTGTGAAAGCTCAGGTTTCAGAATTCCTTTGCTCACACCACATAGATGAGTTGGTAATAGAATAGTAATAGTTTTCTGTGCAGTAACATCATGGGAATTAAGGTCAGCTGAGGATAAATTCTCAGGATCTTAAAACCTATGTGATCTATGAGGAAAATATTCTAAGGCTTTGGAGTTTTATTCTATGCAACAAAAGCAAGCTGAAGATGTCTGAGAGAGGAGATGCCTAGGTAAAAAGCCCACTTAATATACTACCCTTTTATATTGCATTGATATGAAACTATTGTTTCTATTTCCTTAACTGATGTTTCACTAGATGTTTCACTTGAGTGTGCTGGATTTTTAACGGGCATTGGATTGGACAGTACAGTCATGATGCGAAGTATCCCACTTCGTGGATTTGATCAGGTGAGTAAGGAATATCTTACATCTCCTTATAAAGCAAATATATTAAAAAGTGTATTTGATTTTTTTTTCCTAAAGAAAATGTGTCTCCAAACATGTCCTAGTATGTGCTTTCTGAAGAGAAACTATATATATTAGGTCTTGTTTTTCTGTACTTTCCTGCCTACTTGAAAGCAAGATTGAAAAGGTTGGGAAGCAAGGGAGGGATTTATGCCACTACTAAAAAACATTGGACAATCCCTTTAAAATAATTTTAAATTTCTAAGAGTTAAAGATATTTAACACGTAGTTCAATGTGGAGTTCATTATTATGAATATAAATAAATCACTAAGCCAAAAGTTTGTAATGACATAGGAATTGAAAATCTTGACCACTTTCAAAACAGTGGCAGTTATAATAGGTAAAACAAGTATATAGTGATTTCAGTGAAACTATCAACCCTAAGCTGGAGAAAATTAAAAGCAGAAACTTTCAGGCAGGGAAATTAAGAAAGAAAAAAGTGTTTCACATTTAGGAAAGATTTTAAGGAATTTTATTTAAAAGTATAAATGGTCATGGTTGTGCTGACAAAACAGAAACCAGTTTTGGCCAGAAATCCATTCCTGTATAAAGAGAATAAAAGCAATTACAAATAACAACAAGAAAAGACAACAACAACAAAAGGTTTTGTATAGGATTTGTGTCAAAAGCATAACTGCCTTAAAGAAGGAATAGAAGGTAATATAGCAGGTTTACTGGATCCAATAAATGTGTTACTTGGATGCGAGATTATAGCCCCTGTTCACAGGTTAGAGGATGTCTTTGATGGTCCGTGAGTCCTGGTCCCTCAGTCTGTAGGTAGAGTATGTTAAAGGTGACTGTGACTCTTCTGTCCCTGCAAGATTTGATGTTAACACTACTTTGAGGAAAAGTTTCTGTAGGGTCCTTAAAATGAAGAGAGTTCTGGGGTTTCATTCACATATCCAGTGATCTTTTTCTTTGAAGTTTACAATTTTTATCTCAGACAAATAACTTTGGCAGATGGCAGCCTCAAGAATGAAGGCTGCGTCCTGTTAATCACTTGGAAATAGTGTTTTCAGAATGGAATTGAATATGTGTTAACTTAATTATTGCTGGTATTATAAATTAGGACTTTTTATAATGCTTATGTGCAATGGTGCAAAACATTTACAGGCTGAAGTTGGTGAAAGTGTGATAGAACTGTGGCCTTCTTTGCACATAGAGTGTGTAGGAAAATCATTTTCATATGTAGCAGCATAGTTTTTGAGGAGGGTATATTGCTGTTAGAAGCAGCAGTGACAACTACCACTGCAGGTAGGTAGTGACAGCTCCTGCTTGCATGCCAGCCGCTCCCACTTTGAAGTGGCTTCCTTAAAACTAGTAGTAAGTGTACCAGAGCTTGCAAAACATTGTGTAAGAATGTGTGTTGGGATTTGCACTCCTCCTTGAGGAAATCTACACCTGTAACAGCATGAGATCTGAGCAAGCAGGGAATGGTGTTAAGAGTGTGTGTGTGGCACTTCATAAAACACAGTAGGGCTGTCTCTGAGAACTCACTCCTTTGTAGGCAGGGAGAACACAATGAAAATTTCAAGGTTAAGAAAGCATTAATAGAGATAAAACAAGTGTGTTCAGTCTGTAGTCACATTGAGTCTGACGGAAACTGGTTAGCAATCACTGGATAGTGAGCTGTCATGTTTCTGAGGAGATAGAATCCTGCTGTTGTCTTCATATTAGTTAATATCAGCTTCGAAAATAAAGTTTGGTAAGCTGAGAGCTTGCATGTAGCTGTTTTGTGCGAGTGGTTTTGTGATAATCTCCTTTAAGTAATAAACACATCCTTTGACAAAGTGCAACCTGAATTACTGCAGTCAAGAGCAATGACATCTTTGGATAAACCTGTCAATGTACTACTTCACTACTTGACTGTGGTGTGGCATTATTTCAAACAGGCTCTTAGGACAAAAGTATTATTTCCTTTTTGCAGTAGAACTTTCCAGGAAACCTTAGTGATTCATAGTCATTGCAGAGAAATGACAGGTGTCATGGCAAAGGGAAATATTTTTCTTCCGTAGCTTTATGAAAGTATTTAATTCTCATTGAGCTGCCAGAAAATGGTAATTATGGTAATGTTAAACTGAATATGTTCTAGATGCCTTTTTGCATAAGCAACAAATTAATTAAAAGCAGCTGTTTTATTCATGTGTTATCTTTTTTTAGATCAATTCGAATATTCAGGTGTAGGTGCCTCTTGAAATTGAGTTGCAGGTCATAGTGTAAATTATTGTGTTGGCAACGCATAGTAACTAAGTGACAAAGAATGTTGAAATGCGCAGTGTATTTACTGTGTTTTCACGAAGACAGCTGAAGGAATGTTTTACATTAAAAAGATTGTGTATCTAAGAATAATTTTCTTTTTTCCCCTATCAACAGCAAATGGCATCTTTAGTAACTGAGCACATGGAATGTTACGGCACAAAATTTTTAAAGAGATGTTTCCCAACCAAAGTTGAAAAATTGGAGAGCAACAGGTTGCAGGTGACCTGGAAAAATACTGACCTGGGCACAGAAGAAACCGATTGCTTTGACACAGTGATGTGGGCAGTAGGTAAACTTGATTATCTTAACATTTATTTGCAATGCTTTCCATTCTGAAAATTAAGTCCCCTCATCGTTGCATGGGGCTTCCTGTTTTCTGTATGTCGTAAATATTTAGTGACATAAACATTGATAGTTTTTTAATTCTTTTCTTGCATGCCTGACTTGTTCACTTACAGTCTAAAAACACATGAAAGTTACAGTGAATGGAAGAAATCTGTGGTAACTACTTTTGCATGAGCTGCAATAAATGGCAGACCATTTGGCCTTCCCCACATTTACTAGAGGGTGAGAGCTTGAATTCCAGCAGCCTCTGTGGTGCGGATAGTGTTCTCTCTAAGTCCATAGTCTTGATCTTTTCATGAAGCTGTTTGCTGTAATTTCCTGTTTATCCTATTCAAGAGGCTTCCATTTCTTCTAGGATTTTTTCTGAACTGTGCTACTTATATTTATTAATGCAGCCATCATCTTAATTCAGAGAAAGAGAAGTAATTGTCCCTAAAAATCTGAGTTCATTGAAGGAAACCTTGGGATTTTAAGGCTTTTTGAAATCTGGTTAGGAACTTTCACATATCAGACCCCTCAGAACTGACATATAATGCCTAAGTTAATCAGTCTTAAAGAATTTTTGTGACAAATGTCTATGAGCATAGTCATAAGAAATGGGAGTTAAATCATTTTTTTGCCTCCTTTGAGTCAAATGCTACTTCTTGTGAGGATTGACATAGTAAATGATGTACGGTAGAAGGCTTCAGCCCACAGGAGCAAAAATACTCTCTGAATTGCCTCTCTAAACTACTTGTTTGTTGCTGTTATGAGTTGGCCTTCAGTTCCTACAATGGTTCAGATGGACAGCAAGCCTGCCAGAACAGGAGACCTTTTGTCTTCTGTGCTTATAAAGCTTTTGGAACATCTGGGATTCTAGGTGAATAAAGGATGGCTACAGGTAGTAGTGATATTTGGCAAGCAGATGATATGTTGTGGACAAAGTAAATAGGCTTAAACTTACTGCCCAAGAAATCTGTTCTGATGCAGAACAATCAGTTCTACTAGCAGCTTTAGTAATTCTTTTAACTTCCTTCATTTTTATGCTATTCTTTTTATCTGACACTACTGGTTTAGAGTAGTGGCAATAACAGATAAATTCTTATGCTTGTAGAATATATCCATTACAGGAAACAGGAACAGATCATTTACAGCTTTTTTATTTTGCCCAGTGGACTAAATCTGTTGTCCCCTTCCCCTAGTTAAGTCAGCTTTATGTCTTCCTAATACCCCAAACAGAATGCAGGTTGTGTGTTGTGACAAACATTTGCTTACTGTGGTTACTATTCTCTTAGAAATGCAATGGGCTTCTGTAAATTGTGGAAAAAGCCTATAATAATGGCTTACACTCCCCAGACCCTGTCAAAGACACTAGTGCTTACCAAGAGCAAAAAAGATCATGCTACGTAGAGATGTGACAACCCTGAAAACTGTAGAGTAATATTCATGAGGTGAGATGAAAATGGTTCCAAAAAGTGGGTTTCTAAGTGCCGTATTTGATTTTTCTCAAGCTTTCTGGCAGAAGTACACTGAGATGGAGTCAAACCTGTGAAATGTCAAGTCAATTTGTTTGCTTTTGTCAAAGATGGAAAAAAGAGCTATTAAAATAATAAGAATATAATCTTGGTTTAGTAGTAATTATAATGAGATAAGTTTGCATGATATACTATTGCAACTCAATTGTAATATGACTCCACTCACTATTTTGATAGGGAGCACTACATATATAGTAATTTTTGTCACAGATTTGAATTACAATGGATTTAGGAGCTGCAGAATTAATAGTTTGAGGGTTTGGGGGTTTTGTGTTGATTTCTTTTTTCCAGCGTTCAAATTGGCACTCTACTTTTAAGGATTAAACACTTTAACAGTTAAAGCTGGTTAATTGATGTGCAGTTGATATGATTCATTGTTTTGCTCTGTATCAACACACCCACACCAGGTGTCTCAGATAATAGGCTGGGAAACTTGGTAGTGTTGAGGATTTCCTGTCTGCAGATGTGCCAGTTACAATACTGATTGAAGAGAGTCAGCTTGGAGAGTTAGTTAAAAGCAGCCACTATTGTTAACTAATTGTAGCCTGAATTATAGTAGATGTTTCCTTAACTTTTGTAAAGGACATCATGGAATTTTAGCGGGATTTTATGAATAATGGTAAAAATACTAACTGACAGTGGCATATAGCTTGAGTTTTGTGAGCCTCAGTATTATCTCCTAATGTATGCCTTTGGAAAAAGAATTATATTGCATTTCTATGAAGAGTTCTGTTTCTCTTCTGGAATGTGTGATTTTCTGCTTGTATGAATAAGCAAATAAAAGCAGGCACAGTGCTTTCTTTGCTTTTCCAGTAGCTTCTTTGAACTAGTCAAAATATTTGGGGGGGGGGGAATTAAAAAAAACTCATTTTGATACCTTTTAATGTAGTTTAAAGGTTTCAATCCAAAGCTTTTGTAGGTAAGTCTTACAGGCCTGTTACCTTGCTAAGTGACTATACTGCTATATTCCAGATCAGTGGAACAGCTCTTTCTTGACCTATATTTGATTCTGCCTGTTTAGTCCTGTAATATCCTTCTGTCTTTTACTACTGCTCTCTTCTGCTTTTGTGAGAATTCTCTTCAAATTATAAGGTTTTGAGATTTTTTTTTCATCCAACATGGAACCAATAAACTTTTAATTTTACATAGTATTGCCTCTGCTCTTAAGGACACATTTATGTGTTAGGTGCCTGATATACACAAGCTGCAAAGCAGTGGTAAGGGTGTGCATGTACAGACTGCACAGGATCTTCATCCAAAGAAGAGGGTAGAGATTGGCACCTTTATAAACAGATGCAACTGCTGAGTTGCAAAGGACAAAGTTGCAAGAGACCAAAGTTTGTAGAATGGGTTTGTTTCAGCTATTGGAGGACTGAAACCTGTGAATCAAATGCGGCAGTTGCAACACAGCTAATATATAAAAGCAATTGGTGAGTAGTATTTCCATTTGAATTTCCAATAGGTGGCAAAAGATCACTGCTGTAACCAGAATTTGATTATTCGCAAAGTCCATAGAAAAGATGCTAATGAGGTCTTACTGTGCAGAGGAGCAACACTGAGTTGATGATTAAAATAAGCAGGTGTTCACAAATTATCCTAGAATTAGTTTGACAGAGAAAGTGAAGTAGTATGCTAGCAAAACACAGTAGTAGTGTAATGTGCTACTAAAACAGAAAGAGCAATGACCAGCAGCAGATTTTAAGTTTAGCTTTACAAAATGAGATTTTCCCTGATGAGAGCAGCAGAACAACCATTTTCAAGTTCCACTGCACTCATAAGCTTAGAGGAACACCACTGTGTCTTTGAAATAGTATCATCTTTGCCATAAAAAAGAGTTATAACTTTAGCTGAATGGGTATCAGGTGTTGCACATCATGGGCTATCACATATGTTGTCCTTCGTGTCAGACTGGCTGCTTGGCATATTTATTTTCTAGTGCAGTAAAATAAGATAATCGCTGTTCAGTATCAAGAAAGGCTTAAGTACATAACTTGTTTTTAATAGCAGTTTTCTTCAAGTCTTACAACCAAATCAGTTTGGATTAACTAAGAAAACAGAAAATTTGTTTGGAGATTTTCTTTGAAAAGTCCCATATAGTAAAATATCGCTGGAATCTATGGGCATCTCTCTGCCAACCCCTATAGAAAAGGGGATGGGCCTTAGATTTGTCTTTGCAAACAGGTCTTTAACCTTTGAACCATTCAGTGAAAAATAATGCACCTTGGTTGTTCTCAGAGAGCTGTTAATGCTAATGTGATGTGGTTTGCTGAAGCTCTAGGTCTTTGTTCTGAACTTCCCATGTCTATTTCTCATTACTTTTAATTCCTTACTGTCTTGGCAAGATGTGTTTTCTGTAGTCCTAACGAAAGCCATCATTCCCATTACATCAGCCAGTGCTTTTAGGTTGTTTCCCAATATCTAGTTTTAATGACATTCAGTCAGACTTTATTCAACAGGGCAATTTTTAATGTTCTAGTAATTTGCATTGAAAGAGGACTGGATGGTACTTTTTCCTTCTTTTGTTTTAACATACCCATAAACTTTGAGTGTAACTGTTATACTACTTACTTTACTAGCTTGTAACTATAAAAATCCCTTCTTCCTGCTAGGAAAAGTTTAGATGCCTGGCTGTGCCTCTAATCTGGATTCAAACCTATTTTCAGAGTTGATAGGTGATGGCTAGCCTTTATCTGAATGGTGGTATACATAAATAAAAATAATGGTGGAAAATGCTCCAAATTTCATGAAACCAGTATAATTACTATGATACTTTCTACAGAATGTAGATATTGTTCACACATAAACGTCCAGGAGATTGATGCCAGTGACCTCACTTGGGAATGGTTGTTGGGTACCATTTTGAGACTACAGAGCCATCATTAAGGCTATACAAAACCTCTGGTTAAAGCAAGCTTAGTGTGGGAATACTAATGTGAAGGTGAGCTGTAGCTTCTTCTCAGAAAATGTTTCCAGGCTGCTTTACTTTGTACAGGACCTTGAGAACAAAACAAATAGAATTGTTAGAAGCCTGTTGCGTGCTATAAGATGTTAATTTGGTTGCATGTCACTTGGAGTTGCTTTTTTTGTTGTTGTTTGGGTAGAACCAAAGTGACATGTCTCCAGATGCAAGTAACTTCAAATGTACAGCGGATGGTGATGGCTACATGTTTACTGAGACCACCATGGCTGCCACAAGCTTTCTGCTGAGATGACGCCTCTGTGTAATAAGTTTTACTAGTCAATGCTAGAAGAGATAGTACAGCTTAGCAGACTTGGCAAAGAACCAATTACTGTCCTAGCACTGACTGAGGGTCAGGTTTTTTTCACGGTGAAGGTTTATCAGCAATGAATGAAATATTCAAAAATGTCCTTGTAAAATTGGTGCATGCTATTATCAATGTGGTAAGGGCTCTGAACTTCTTTTTACCTTAGTTAATCTTGCTGTAGTCAATATTTTCTTGTAGTCTGGACATTAGTTACATGGAATGGGTCTTTATTAGTCATTATCATCTGGCTATGTTTTAGTGAATGATTTGTGGGTTTTAAGGAGGGGTTTAAAGGTGAAAAGGGTAGTGGACTTGAAACTGATTTGGGGAGTGTGTCAGGCACCTACAACAATACGGGAGAGAGTACTAAGATTGGGAACATGGATGAGATTTTGATTCAGATCAAACTGAGGTCAGATTGGGTAAAGTTATGAAGTTATGTGTCAAAATGCCAGTGTATAGGTAAGAAGTGGAGAAGGCTATTGGGCTTAAGTTTTATTCCAGAAGAACCATCCTGTCACCCTGCAGTATGCTCATAGTGGCCACCTGCAGTATCATGCCTGATAATAAAATGCTTGGTTGGCTCCAGTTTGGATTTTTGAAATGCTGGGGAGCAAGCAGACATTCCAGCTTCTGTGATTAAGAAGCTGCAGAAGACCCATTATAAAATTCTGCTGTCCGCTGCACCTTTATCACCCTGGGAAACCTTACTGTATGCAAGACTATGCTGTCACTCATCGCTGCTGCTACTTACTTGACTATGCCTATTCCTATGGTTTCTTCTCAGTTTAGCTGCTTCAGTCTCCTCTGTTGAAGGTTCTGCACCTGAAGGTTACAGCAGCCTGATGCTGCCTTCACCTTAATCTGTGTGCAGGTGTGATTACCAACCAGAGCCCATCAGCAGATGATAGGACAGAAAGGCCACTTCACAGTATAACCAGCCTAGCACGTCAGAGATGGGTGCTTTAAGCAGTCTCTTGTCGCTCTCAGTAGCTAAAGTGGCTGAAAGCCCCCTTCGGAATGCTGTTAGATTTTACAGAAACGGATCAAAAAGGTGTTTTTTTCTTTTAAAGTGAAAAGTGAATGGGGGCAGGCCCTGAAGGCAGGGGTCTGTGTGGTTTTCACAGCTATGTGATTATTGTATCTGTTTATTGAAGATGAGATTGTGGTGTGGTATTAAAAGTGCAGGAGGCAGGTAGCATTTTTAAGGGTCAGATTAGAATGGCACTTTTCTTCTAGATGTCTGACATAACATCTTGCTGTTTTGAATAAAAGCTAGATCTAGTCTTGTGTCTTATACAGTCATACAGTCCTTGTTCTGTAGCAGTTGCAGGGCAGTGGACATCTTCAAATTAAAAGCTTGTGTGCTGGCTTTAGCAGGAGGGAGGCAGGAGGCCATCTCTGTGTTAGGTGCCTGGTATGATTTGGCAGTTTTGTACTGCCTTCTTGGTTTTTCAAGTAAGCTGTAAAGTCATGCTTTCTGGAAGCTGTAAATGTAAAAAATTGAGAAGTTATGGGTATAAAACAAATGTTTTTCTGACCCAATACTGCTGAGAAATTGTGGGAACTGATTCTATAATACAAGTGAATGATGGGAAATGCCAGAATTTCCTGAAGTTGACATTAAAACTTACCAAGACACATTGGATAATCCTGAACCTAAACTACTGAATTTGAGGCGAAGCAAGATCAGTAAGTGTAATTCTGGCTTATGGAGGTGAGCCAGCATGGGGCTGAAGGCCAATAAAGCTTCAGTTCAGTGTATTAAAGTTTGATTTTTGCTTTCAGAAATAATATTTAGGCAGTAAACTTGAGAGAGAAATTTCACTAAAAGTAGCACCACAGTTTTTGTAACTCCTAGCTATTAATACCAGGCTGTACATATGTTAAAATAGACTGGAATTGAAAGGTTAAGTGTTATCCTGCAGATTTGATAAACTCAGCTGTTGTTGTCACAGGTCTTTAAATGACTCTATTGACAGTTTTTGCTTTTTTCCTCTTTCAGTGCCTGCCATTGCGTGCTAAGCTTTCTCTTGGCTCTGCCTGGCAGGAAAAAGGAGAAACTAGAAAACCCCATTAGTTGTCCATTTGCAGAATATCCAGGCTTTACTCTCAATACACAAAGAAATACAACGGTAGGAAGTTGTTTCACATCCGAGCCAAGATAAGGTCCTGGAGGTTTATTATTTTTGTTGCCTGATAGCATCAGGACTGGGGAGCAGGGGGCAGAGAAGGAACAGCAGATCAGCATCCCATGGGGACAACAGAAGGGAAGACAGACAGATAGCCAAGTGCCGACAGCTTCAGTCAGTACTCCCAGAGGAAGTGTTGGTTTCACCAGATGAAATTAATACACAGAAGTCTTTACAGAGGCATTCAGATGTGACATTGTTTGAGGGGCCTGGCTATATGGCAGATGTATAAAGCAGTGAATCATATGTTTACATATAATTATGTCTGTATTGACAAGCCAGGTTTTCCTTTTGTTTAATAATTTCCTACATTAACATCAAAGAGCTTGTTTTTATAATGAAAACACATTTCCCTTTTAGTTTTGCTTTGCTATAGCTCTGTATTAACATCAAACACAAAATCATGACTCATGCAAAGGAGACCTATATATGTAGATGTAGATATATCCATGTTCATTTATAGCCTCTAAAAAATAGATGCAATGTTATAAAATGTTGTTTCTTTGGATATATTCAGGTAATCTTTTCTATCTGATTCTATGTGTCCCTACAAATCTGGGGAGTACCTGATCATTTCACTGTGCTTATTAACTTTCAAATACATTTGAAAAATTGGATGGGATTTAAGTTTCAAATTTTTGGGTCAGGATTTGCTTTGTTAGATACTCTATAGAAAGCTCAGTGTAATGTTAAGACTTTGGTGGTCTAAGTAGTAACTCTATGCAGAAAACACACCAAATATTTTTTTAAATGTGATAATTTGAAGTCATTGGAAGAGGAAGATGAAATAAAATCTAAGTTTGGTGTAATTTGCCTCATTTGTTTTTAAATCCATCTAAGATAGTGTTTCTAAATTCCGGGAATAGTGTTTCTAAACTCTGCAGAAACAGCTCAGATGCAGTTTGCGCTAAATAACGCAGCATTAAGAACTTGAGAGCAAAGTTAGTAAACTTTTTCATCCAAACTGAGGGAACTAAAAATGCTTTAAGAGAAGTGTATCAGATAATGAGAAAAGAGGATTTCAGGAATGTTTAACATTGAACAGCAGTATTAATTTTTACCCACAAGTGTGCACAACAGGCTGTTTGTAAGTACTGAGTGCCATTCAGTTATGTTTATGGGACATTTTCAGTGTAGAAGTTGCTTAGTTATTATATGTATATTCATGCTCCATTAGGAAACTGAATTTAGAATGTGCATCAAATATTAAAGTATTAAAGCTTTGCACTTTTTGCAGTGGTTGTTGTCCTGCACATTTTTAAAGGATAGCTTTTGCTGAAATAGTCTGAACAAAGGCAATAGTAATAATGCTCCTTTCACAAAGAAATTCATATCCACACTTTCCACCCTTACAGCTTTTTAGTATGAGATCAGTTTCGTCATGTTTCTGCCTGGACTGTCAAATAGCACGAAATTCTAGGAAACCTACAGTGGAGGATCCCAGCTTTCTCGGTTAAGACTGCTGAAGTTTTACAATAATTTTTGCCTTCTTTCTTTCTTCCCCTCTTAAGGCCGAGCCCCTGACGTTAAAACTCTCAACTTGGATGCAGTTGGAGTGAAAACTAATTCTGAAACTGGAAAGATCATTGTTGATGCCAATGAAGCTACTTCTGTTCCTCACATTTATGCAATTGGAGATATAACAGAGGTACTGAGTCTACATAAACTATTTTACAATAACAGGAAGCCAACTTTGTTCCTGACTAATAACTAGTCCCCAGACGTCCTCATGCTCTAGCATATATCTTCATGTTTTGCTCTTTTAATTTTGCAGAGCTGTAGTGTTTATGCCAGCCACCTGGGTCAGTAATTTCCTTCACATGGATCTTGTGAAGTATTTCAGCATTAGTTATTATTACTGATGTTTATCAGGGAATGCATTATTGGTCAGAGGCTAAGAATAATGTCTTTATCGCTTCAATTATCTTTCTAATAATGTTTTTATCACTTCAGACATATGACTTCATAATGCCTGTGACTGCTGAGTGAAAGCAGCTCTTACCTTCTGGAGCTGAATCCACTTACTTGGAATGACCATGACAAGTTCCTCTTCTAGTATTTTGGAGGCTAATTGACACTAATCCCAAGACAGCATTTCTGCTGCCTGATGCAAAATGCTTCTGACTATAAAGTATCTTCCTCTAGAATAAGAAAAACTAATTGCTGCAAATACTAAATGCATTTTACTTCTGTTCATGATTTATGAATTATTATAACAAATAAACATGAGGTGTGGTGTTTTGGTTTGTTTTTTTTTGTTTATTTGTTGTCTTTTGATGGTGTGGGGTTTTTCCTAAAGGAGGGTACATTATAACAAGAGCAAAATTATTGACTTATTATAAGTGCAAAGCCAGAATTATGTGGCCTTAATCCAGTACTATTGATAATCTACAGTTGTTTGTGACAACAATGTCTTGTCCTGATCAAAGTACACTTAAATACTTCTAAATCTCTCACTTTTCAGTTTACAGAAGAACTCTGAGTATCTACTGTAAGCTGGGCATCTTCAAACATTATTATGTCTTCATAAATAATGTTTGTCTGGATTCTGAACTGTACTGTTACAGGAGGATGTTTTCATCAGGTGCCTGCTGTTCCTGAAAAATCAGGGCAATATGTAGAATCTAGAAACTGGGCATTGCAAAATACAGAATTCTTTCGCCTGTTTTTGAACTTAGTGGAATTAAGCACATGCCTTCCTATCAAGATTGGTTTTGGTATAGTGAAGGCATCTGTTTTGAAAGTCTGGTAAATCCAAATACTGTAGCGAAATCCAGACACCATATATAGTATAATTTGAGGGATCCTTTAAAGATTTCTCATTCTGCAATGTTTAAAATCTTTTAAAGGTCTCTCACATTTACAGACCCTACAGGTGTTCTGAGTTTTTGAAGAGATGCAACAGGTTACATCATGTCTTGGGAATAGCGCTGCAGATTTCTAACTGAATTTTGGAACTGCCATCTCATAAATCTGATGACCATTTCCCTCTGTGTAGACATGTGTTTCTTCCTGTCTGTCTCCATCTTCATGCGAATGACTTGCCACCATTTCCTTTTAAACTGAATTAAAACTCTTTCCTGCTCAGCTATTTCTCCATTTTGTTTTTCTTACTCTCCACAGCTTCTCTGTCCAGTCCAGCCACTCAGAGCTTTGGGATTATGTGCAGTTCCTCTCCTTTCTTTTCACTTCACATAGAGGTTCCCTCTGCTGTACTTGTCACTTCTTGCTCTGGCTTATTTCCTGAAGTCCTGTTTCTGCTCACAGTGACCTCCTACACCTGCTTGTCCCTGATACATGCCTTGGTTAGGCCTCCTGCTTTCCAAACTTTTCTTTTCAATTTCATCCAAGAAGCAGTTATTAGAGGCAGTGCTGGCAGGGCCTTGGATGCTGATGCTTATTTTGCTGCCAATCTGCAGTGTTATTTTGGGCAAGTCATTTCCTTTTGGGTGCTTTTTGTTTTCTGCCCTTTGAGGATTTAGTTAAGTAAGAAATATAAAGTGGGAGGCAGGATGCTCGTCTCTTTCCTACTCTGGATCTAAAAAATCAGGTCTTCATTTATTTGTCATTTTCATTTTGTTGTTAAAATTTGGATTTCCTTTTCCATGCAGATTTGAACTTAAGTTGTTTAATAGGCACTTCTAAATGTAAGTGTTTAAAACAGCAACATAGTTTCATACTGAATCCAGTGAACTGGGGAAAACTGCAGTTAAATCAGTGCTCTGGAGAAGTATTTTCTTAAGCTTTTATCTGCATTATGGGCTTAATATAGGGAATTACATAAATCACAATATAGTACTCATGCATTAATAGAGTTTAAAGATAGAAGGAATTATTGCTGTTATCTGACTCCAGTACAGTGTAAGCCATGAATTGCTAAGCAATAAAGTTTGTTTTAATTCTTTAATTACTTTTTTTTAGCAGAATTACTTTAGATAGTAAGTTTCATTGACATGGGGACCAGAAGTGAAAGAAAGTTCTGCACTGGTGCATATCTCAAAGAAAATACGCAGTAGAATCAAGTGTGCTAAGAACCACAAAGCTGTAGAGCTTGGTGTGTGATACTTTCTGGGTGAGACCTATCAAAAGAGATCCGGAAGGGGAATCTTGTTTCCTGTTTATGAGCTTCTTAATATTCTTAATATTGCTTATAAGAATAAGGTATTTTTTCCCCAGTGTTCCTGTTCAGGATTTCTCTTTGCTCTGCTCTCTCTCTGTTAGAGTCTCTTTGCTACCATGAAGTGCTATTGCTCATACCTTTGCAAGTACTTCTCAAGCCCTCCTCCTCCCTCCTTTACCATGTCACATGAATAGGCACCATACTGCTACCAAATAGCAAGAAGTACTTTTTTGTTTGTTTTAATTGAGCACCCTGGCTGGAAAGGGAGTGTGAAAGAAGAAAGGTGTTTCATTTGCGAGTCATACCCATCTGGTACAGATGGGAAACTATGTGTGCATGGGTGTCTTGTTGCACCCTTGTATGGCAAATGGAATCCTAATGTTATCCAAGCTGTTCATTTGAAGAAAAGGAGGAAAAAAGCCATTCCAGAGGTCAGTCAGTTTGTCTTAAAGTTTTTCAAGCTTTGGTAAAATATTATTTTCAATTAACAGGTAAAATTGCATTTAGACATTTTCATCTTCTGTGATCAGGATGAGGAAGATCAATCTGGAATTTTAGTTTTAATTTTTTTTTCAGTGCTGATATAAATGCTTTGTGTTAAAATTCTTTCTCCAGTAGTATTCTTGTTGAAAAGCATGGCACACACTATAGAGAAGTTCTCAGAAGGAGGTTTATCATATGGTCATGCCACTATACATCTGTCATATTTCAAAGGGTGTTATAAGAAAGATGTGTAGAGAAGGTGGAATGTACAGTATGTTGCTTTGAACAGAAATGAGACCAAAAAGAGTTGTGTTAGAACAAATACACATTACTTCAAAGCTTTTTAAACTCTCTTAGGAGCCATCTCGTTTAAATGTAGAATACATTGGAGGGTTCTTAGGAACAATTCATACCCATAATAATCAGCAGAGTAGTTCTACACATGACTGCAAAGTGAATGTTCATTTCAAATATTTACCAAGGAAGGTCTTTAAGTCATTGTTTATGAGAAATTGGGCTTTATCTGCATGGATGTTTTAGTAATTAGTTGGGTTTTATGGAATGCATGGCAGTGCTTTCACAATTTTATCTCTCGTTCCAATCTTCTATTCATTTCTGGAATGCCAAAACAACATCTGTATTTCCTGCTACAGAAATGATTGGCAGCCATGTTTCGGGCAAATGTGGATAAGAAAAAACAAATGGCAAATTTCATCTGGTAAATGACATTTACAGACTTGAAAGTCAGAATGTTGGATTTGAAAAAACATAACTTGATGGATCTTAGGGTGAAAAAAGGGGTAGATTTGCAGTGTTGTGGTTTGTCATAAACTGTGGGGAAAAACAGGTTAGTCTTCATTAACAATTAGAATTGTAGTTTCTGTTATGGGGTTAGACATAATGTTTCAGTTTGGTTTTTTGCAAAGGAATTTTTAAATTAAGTGGTTATTAATACATATATAAAACCATAAATGCACATTAATAGGTATGGTACATGACATACATGGTAGCTAATACCGTGTACAGAATCTACCTAGCAACATAAAGAAAAAGATAAGCTGGGAAAGAGGAAAGGATTCCAGTAAACACTAAAAACCTTCAGGATAATGAAAAAAAAATGGTTGAAAAGCTTGAATGTGTGTGCTGGAGGAATCCTTACTTTACTATTTTTGCTGGAGACTATTTTTGAGGGCTTATTCGATTACTACTTCCAGATGGGGCTTTGCAGGAATGTGATGAGCTTTGTGTCTAGATAGCACCTGTATGAATCAATACTTCACACATTTTACACAGCATTCTATGTTGTCCCACAAAGGTCTTTCTCAGTTACAATTGTTCTATGTTTCTACATAATTCCTTCTAGATTTGCAACTTCTTTCATCATCTCAGACAAGCATCTTAATGATATGTCATTGATGAACTCTTAAATAATGTTTTTTACAAGACTTATGAAATTTGTTAGGTCTTATTAATTTACATGGACTACTCTTCCTTGGACTTCAAAACATTCCTATGAAAATGCCTATTTGAATTTGTAAAAACTTCCAGCTTCCTTAGGTTTAGCACTGGAGTTCTGATGCTCCAGTGATATTGTGCCAGCACTCGAAATAAGGGTTCTGGCACACTGCATAGTCTTCTTTAGATATAAAAGGTAGGTAGGACTCAGGGCTTGAACTGGACCATGTCCTGATCATATCCTGTTATCATTCCATTTCTCACTTGCAGAAAGTTAGCATTTGCCAGTAGCAATCCAAGCATCTCTTTAATAACAGAGCCTGAGACTAGAACCAACTCAACTTATAGTTGCAGTTCTAAGAGAGTAGTGTTCCACTTCTCTAATCCAGGACCAACATAGGAAGTCAGTAGTAGTACCTACAAATAGCTAATTTTTGTGCCTGTGTTCTGTAAAATGTGTCAGACAACTTTTTTAAGAGGTCTGATGTTATAAAAACACTGTTGCTTTATTCTAGGTTTTTCCTGCTTTAAAAAGACCATTTGAAAAATTTCTTGATGGCTTACTATGAAAAGAAAGGGGGAAGTGAATGATCAGCATATGAATATCCTCTGCTTTTCCAGAGGTGACATGATAAGATACAAGGTTTTGACACATTCATGGCATTTGTTTCCCTCCCTACACTTCCTCCATTAAGATGGAGACTTAAAAGCATGTTTGGACAGAAATTATTACTGCCTTCTCTGTTTGGAGCCCTGGCTACCAGGCTGAAATTCCAAAGATTTGGCCTTCTTCTGAATATTGTCCCAGGAGAAATCTTTGGATGCTACCTCTCTCTTAGTTAAAACAAAGCTTTGTGCTCTCTTCTTAGGGCCGTCCCGAGTTAACACCCACAGCAATAGCTGCAGGAAAACTGCTGGCTCGGCGTCTTTTTGGCCAGTCCTCAGAATTGATGGACTATGACAATGTGAGTTGTTATTTCTTTTTTTCAATAATAAAAGCCAAATCTTACCCTTCTTTTTTTTTTTTTTTTTTTTTTTTTTACTTTTTTTTTTTTAATGGATCTTTAAAGAAATTACATTTTGTCCTCTGGAATCTGGAATCTAGCTTTTACAGTAGCCAAAGTAGATGTGTGTGATAGAGCTACACTTCTCAGGCATGCAGAAGTTTCCCTTTTTGCATGCTTCATATGGTTCAACAGTAACACTGTTTCCTCTTAAATAGGTACCTACCACAGTTTTCACTCCCTTGGAATATGGTTGTGTTGGATTATCAGAAGAAGCAGCTATGCAGTCTTACGGATCAGATAATATTGAGGTATGAAAGCATTTTTAATTTTATAGCTGGTATCAGAAGTTTCATTGTTGTGTCAGGCAAAATTTTATGTTTGCAGTTAAGGAGTTGGCGTCTTCAGAAAAGCTCAGGTCTTTGAAAGTATTGCAGCAGGTCACAATGGAAGCTGTTACCTAGTAAGCTTAAAATTGATAGGGTGTGACAGTTTTAAACTCGCTGACATTTTAGTAAGTTATATTTGCAGCATCATTAAATACTGGTTATGTTCCTTTTAATTGTCAGAATTGCTGGTCACATTCTTTAGTCTAAATTTTTGCGATGTCACCAAAAATATTCACACAAGCTGCTAAGTGTCTTCATGGCTACAATGTCTTGATATAATATGCCTGAGCATTGCTTATTGAGGAAGAAATCCATTATGGCATATATTCACACCCAGCCTTCTGATATGAAGAATGAGATTGTGATACTCATGATGGAGAAGTTCACAAGCACTATATAATGTGGCAAAATTCAAACAAGTCACCCTTGAAAAACTATGTTGTGTTACCTTTATTCACTTGTCAAAAAGACTGTCAGCATATGACTTGGTTAGCTTTGGAAATACAATGCAATAGTTTACTTCCTGTCCAGTCAGCTATTGGTTTTGTCTTTTATGATTCTGAAATACAGTTTCTGTCCCAGAACTCTTATCTTGGTTTGATCTCTGTGGGTTAAGGCAGGTAATTGATGTGTGTGTGTGTCATAAGGTGCTCCTGTCATGTATGTATTGGAAAGCAATTTTCAGCTGATGGATTTAGCTTGGAGCCCCAGGCAAAACCATTAATATAAAAATGAGTATTTACTATTCAGAATGCAAAAATTACAGTTCAGGTTGTCTTGTCACATACATTATTATAGGTATGGAAAGTTTCTTGGCTTGCATTATTTTCAGTAATCAAGGATTAAATTTTTTTTGAGAAGGAACAAACTAACACTTAATTTGGGCCACTGGTTTGAGTAATATGATTATTTGTGGACTTTTTTTCAGTTTGCTTTTAATTTAATGGTTCTCTGAGAAAGTTTTGTGTTAAACTTCTCCTGTGCTTTCCACATTTTTCTTTAAAATAATGAACGAGTTATAAATAAATCATTTTTTTCTACAATATTATAAATGTGTCATAATAATAGTCATTATAATACTAAATAGCAGTTTTTTACATAATAGTACTCTCTAACAGAAAATGTTACTGTTTTCCCTACCAGGTATACCATGCGTATTATAAACCTTTAGAGTTTACAGTGGCTGAAAGAGATGCGACTCAATGCTATATAAAAGTGAGTGTTGTGAGCTTTAACTTGCTTTTAACTGATAACAAGAGATGTGGTAGAGCCAGCTTCGAGGAGGACTGTTAGGCAAAAAAAAACCCTCTCAAGATGGATGAAATATTTTCTTGGTGCAACCTGTCTCTCTTGTCAAACTTCGTGTGTTTAATGTTCATTACATATCCTACTGCATATTAAAATTGCTTTACAAATATTAGAACCTTTCAGAGCTGACATTCTGTTGATTGATACCATCTTTGAACTGCTTTTAAGATGCTAATAAATATTCCAGTTTTTCTAATTATATTTTGTCACATATGATTTATGTAAATGCCTTAGTAGCTTGCCTTAACTGTCCCAAGTACCAGTGCAACTAAAGTGATGCTACTTTTTAGCTATTCCCTTTAAATTATGCCAATTAAATATTTGAGGGTAAAGTAGTAATAGCATAAAAATTGCTGGATGATGTTGAATATACTCCTTACTAAACTCCCAAAGCACATGAACAGACATTAAATTTGAGAGTTTCGAACTCTATTGCAAGAGGGTTTTATCTTTTAAACTCCTTGATATTTTAAGAACCATGTCAAGTTTGCTGCTGTTCCTGGGATTTCTAATGAAAGAATCCAAGCCCTTACTGAATAACAGAGCCTATTTGATTAGTGATGATTTAATGCTTGATGGGTGGACAAAGGGAGAGACTGACTTTCTTTTCATAATTATAAAGATGGTGTACTTAAAGGAACTAAACAGTTTTCATTAAGTTCTCTAATAAAAGTGACTGAGGCCCTCCCAGATACTTATTAACTCACCTTCATCTGTGGCTGCTTCCAAGCCTTGACTCCTTTTTAGGTTATGTGGCTGATGTGGTAAATGTATCTCACCAAACATCCTGCTGTAAGTGTTTACTGACTGAATCAAAAAGGCACAAAATATTCAATAATTGGTAGTGGTCATCTTTGGAAATACAGTTGGTTAGCTAGTGAGAGTAAGTGCACGGGCTTGGAGAATTGCTAAGGTAGCCACTCAGTGTCAAAATAACACTAGTCTGGTTTCTAGACTACAGAAGATATTTTGAGGATTTCATACAAATGACAGACAACAAAATATTCAATTTACCACAAATTGTCATTGTCAGTGGCTCCCAGAAGTCTGAAAGAAATACATCAATAAAGCTTCGATTCAGGAAAGTGCTTAAGGACAAGCATAAAACCTATTGAAGTCAGTAAGTCTTAAGCAAGTGCGTAAGTTCTTGGCACACTGGAGTAAACAGCTGTACTAGGATCTCAGGGCACTTCAGTTTCATTTAATTTAACTTCATGCCTTATCTTTAAATGTTCTAAGAAAAGATCTCTATGTAATGTATTGTTTTCAGATGGTGTGCTTACGAGAGAGAGAGCAACGAATACTTGGCCTTCATTTCATTGGTCCAAATGCAGGCGAAGTTATTCAAGGATTTGCTCTTGGAATCAAGTAAGTACAAAAGAATGTCTCTAACTTCTAAAGCCTGCTTTTTAAGTTATTGTAAGATTATAAAAGATAGCTGCCTAGTTTTGGCAACACTATAAAGAATCCGTGATTTTTGTTACTTTTATGTAGAATTGCACATATTTTCACTAAAAATACTGCAGTTCTTCATTAAGTTGTACTGGATTTAGTTACTGTAATACTGGATATAGTTAAGGAGCAACTGAGGAAAATACATTGTTGGCTTGATATAGTTAAAGCAAAAAATAAAACTGTGCATTAACTTACTAATATAAGTTTTCTCAGAGTGTAGCTTCTTTTGCATTCTATGTGCAGGATAGGAAATCACCATATAGTTTTGCAAGTCACTTATTTAAAAAGATATTTGTGCTCTTCAGAAAAATCCTTTCTTTATACCTGCCAAGTATTTTCTTTCTTAATCTCATCTTTAAGAATGCACAGCCATTGCTCATCAAAAGCTCAGCAAGGACTTGCATGAATTTTTATATTTTTGGGGTTATAAGCTAACCCCAAATGAGGTAAGGTAAGAAAGAAACCTCTGTAGGCTGATGGAAGGGGAGAGATTCTTTTGTCTGGAGCTATCTGATAATTGCAGTAACAAGCTTACTCAAGTAGATGAACCTTTGTGATTTGATCTTGTTTGATATTACTCAAATATTAACATGAAAGTTCTCCCTTTGAAGGAATAAGGAATGATTCTGGGTCCTGTCTGGTTAAATAGAGAATTCCTACTATGCTTCTTGTGTGCTACAATTACTTCTTATTTGTTTTTATATTTCCCTTCTTAATGCTGATTCACATCTTCAGAAATGTTGATTTGTGTATTTATGTTACTAAATTATAGTTTTTAACTCCTCTTTGAAGAAAGTATGCTGGGACACAAGGAATCAACCCTAATTGTGGTGTATGTTCATTTTCCTAAATATCATCATTTTATTGCAGTTTTAGTCTTACAGTTGTGAGTGACTAGCATAAATGAAAAGCAGAAAGGATTAAGAAGGCAGGACCGCAAGTATCATGTGAGGAATATCTTGGAAATCACTGATTGCAGTGTGCCCTCAGTACACATTTTCAACATGTGTTTGTAGTCCATTAATTGCCAGTGGTATAGATTCTAGAACTACATTTTTTAGGATGTCATTGTTTTGAAGTTTTATCCAAAATAACCAGTGAAAAGGAAGCACATGAAACTGGAGTGCTTTTCTGCCTTGCCTGAGGGAAATTAAAACTTTAGCCACAGTAAGAGGTTTTTCAGCAGGTCAGATTCTTGTATTGGTTTCTATTGTATTTCACAAATCCAGAGTTTTCAGTGTGGAACACCCACTGTAAGAGCTGCTGTTCTCCTTTGTCAAATATTAGGTCTTACTTCAGCCTCTCCAAAGGATGACTTTCCATCTTCCCTCCCCACTTAGCACTCCAGTAACATCTGTGCTTAGCAGCAATTTTTTGCTTGTTGGTGCTTTTTTGGATGTAGGAGGAGAAGACACCTATGAAGAGAGGAGACTCCTCTGTATTTTGTAGAAGGAGAGAACACTATTCCATAGAGAGCTTGAAACAATTCTTAAGTTTAGGGCCATTTTAGCTATTCTTACAGTATGACCTGCCAGGAATAGCAGCTTGAAGGAAAGTCTAAGAATGTTATTGGACGTGTAAAGGAATTAAGCTAGGGCATATTAGTGCCAGGTTTTTTGGTGGGGTTTTGTTTTGTTTTCTCAAAGAAAGACTTTTTCCTTCTGCTTATGTTATTGATAATTTCAGTTTAATCACCAGACTTTCTCTAAGATCGTGGAAGAATATTCTGGTATTACTTCCTTCAGCAGATTCCTTCCAGCAGTCCTAATTATTATTTTCTCCCTCTGTGCGTATATGTATGGTTTTCCATCTGGAGTCAGAGTTAGTGAAACACACATGTATGTACAAGAAAAGCTGAAGGCTGCTGTTTTATCACATGCTTTTGCCATAGGCTCAGTTGTGACTTGGGATAAATTGCTTAATTCTCTCTGTCTCAACTCTTACGACAATTCTTCCCTACCTACCTAACAGTGTTGTGAAGCTGGGTGTTTAAATGTTGTGTAAGTGCCTGAGAAATAATAGACAGCATTGTTTGAAGAATGAATGAACTCCTCTTTTGATAAAATGGATAAGAGCAGAATTACTTTGATGTCTTAGGACATTCTAGCTGCTTCAGGTGAATAGTGTTTGACTTTGTGAATCTTTGGTTTGGTTGTTGTTTTTTTTTTGTAGATGTGGTGCTACATATCCTCAGCTAATGAAGACAGTTGGCATTCACCCTACCTGTGCTGAAGAAATTACCAAGTTGCACATTACAAAGCGTTCTGGCTTGGATGCAACGGTTACAGGCTGCTGAGGTTAAAAATGCCATCTCTGGAAAGAAGGAAAAAAAGCACAAAATATATTTGTAAAGAAAAGGGGCACTTAGACTTATGAACAGTTTTAATGGTTCAAGTTCCAGGAATCTTTTCTCATTCTCCCTGTAGACAACTTTCTTTTTCAGCTAGATTGTCCTCACACCATCACAGTTCTAAAACCAATTCAGCCCTGCTGTAACAAATTCTATTTCAAAGTGCCTATAACTCTTACCTTTCTGGAGCCAGGAATAATCACAGGTTTATATATGTAAATATAACTGAAGCCATTGACATCTGAGGCCCTCTACAAATGAAGCCATTGTCATTTGAGTTTCTGTTGGCATGGCTGACTGACCCTAGGGGCTGGACAAGGCTTCCCTTAGAATTTTGGCCATGAGACTTTCTCCTGAGTGCTTGGATAGTTCATTACCTATCCTAATCTTGAACACTGAGATGCTGTACTCACTAGTAGAAACAAGTTCCCAGACTGTGTAACAGTGGGTTAGCAGTCATTTTGGGATTTTCTTTAAAATGTAGTATGTACAGGAATTTAATAGAAAATCACTTATCACTGAAGCTATGCTGCTACTGGATGAATCCCAATGGATTAATCAGTGGCAGCCTGGTCATAACATTATGGTGATGGCTGAGAATGAATAAGCTCAGAGGTGTTAAAGAAAAAGTTGAATTTTATGGTGACTTCTCTGCCTACTCTTAAAGTTTCTAATTCAGTTCAAATTGATACATCTCACAAATTATTGCTTGAACACCATATATTAAGCAACACTGACAAGTAGAGTCAAAACAGCTAATAATCCAATTCATGCCACATTTTATGTTTTATAGGATATGGAAATCTGGCTGACACAGTGATATATTTGTTGGTTGGTTTTTAAGATTTTCTCCCTGATGAGGTGGATACTGATTCTGAATGGATTTAGGTCTGGCTTTAATAGAACATGTTACTGAAGGGAACTATATTAAACAATGATCTAGAAAGGAAATAGTCCTGCTTAGAATAAAGACAGAAAATAAATAGCTGCAAACTTGTCTTTTTAAGTATTGGCCAGAGTAAGAAAGCATTAATCTGTTGCAAATTTCTGCTTACGTTCCTGCTATCCAGAAGGGGGAGATGCTGGCTAATTTGTAGCAATGAAGAAACAGAAACCCGATGGTGAAGCTTCTTTTGCAGAACTCGGTTAAATAAGTAGCCTGACAAAGGCAAACACAAACTGCAGTAAATTTTCAGTCCAAGTTGCAGTTGTCAACATTTTATATGGATAGTCCTATATTTCTTGCACCCTTTACAGTAGTAGAAGATCAGTTTGAGGTGAAACAAATGTGTCCAGTTAATTCATATCGGTGGTTTTGTGTGTGGAATTTGGTAGTTCCATAGCTATCCTACTGCTTGTTGCACAGTTCAGAAGAATAGTCTGATGGTCGTGTATATATTTGCTAATTTTAATTTGATTGCCATTTCACTGCTGCAGCATGCAACACAGACAAATGGTTGGTTTCTTTCAAGGGTGGTATCTTTTTTACTATGATAAAGAAATAGTAAAATTGAGAAACTGTTAGACAAACAGTGATCAAAACTTCCTTCTAAAATGTGATGTAACAGCATTTGTCACACTGTCACTGATAATAGAATACTGCTTTTCTAAAGATTTGTTCTGACTTAACAACAAAAGAAATCTTAAATGCTTTCTTTAGAAAGTTTCCTGATTTATGGCCCATATTTCTGGTCCATAAAAGAGGAAGAAGTGATACAATTTGATTGCAGATGGCATTCCCTGTGAGATCTACTGATGCTATTTTTCATCTGTGAGGTTATCCATAAGGTTGTAGTTGAATAAAGAAGCTTTTTGAGTGGAAGTGTTGTTGAAACACTGCCTGAATATTGCAATTGCCGTTAGAAGAAATGATGAAAAATTTATATCTATATATAAATGTGTGCATACCTGTGCATTCAGAAGTTGATTTCCCTTATTAAAGACCTTCTGAGTATGATGCTGCTAAAAAAAACCCTACTAGATTTTCCAGCTGTTTATATATAAAATTTTTTTTTTAAAGTTCATACTAAAATGAGCTTTTTTAAAACTTAATATTTCAAAACTTTGAGATTCTGAGCATTGCATCCTACAGAGATTTTGCTGTCAGAAACATCCCACCTCTGACTAAACTGTAATGTGTATGCATGCAAGATTTTTTTTTTCCTAGTGATTGCCTATTACAATTCCTTTTGTACCCGATTGGTGTTTAGCTGTGTGTCAACTGCTTCTCTTCTCTGTCTTACCAGTGCATCCAACAGACTGAGGCGTCTGCTGCTACAGACAAATAAATGGAAAGATGAGTTAATTTCATTCATCGTAAAGTTCCAAATAGTGATTTGGGAGAACAAGTAAAGAGATCTCAAGGAAATGTATCCTCAGTGTATGTGGGGTGTGAAAGTAAGGCATGTCATCATTCTCAGGAGTAATAGAACTGTATTCGTTTTAGAACTGCTGAGTGGTCTGCTTGAAAATTGATCCTGAATCTTGAACAGCAGCCTAGTTCTGTTACTCATTTAGTGGAAAAAATTGTTGCCCCCAGTGTAAAACTAAACATACATTGACACCTATACAACCTTAATGTCAGCATCAACATCAAGACAGAATAATGACAACTACTGTGATTGTGCTTTTTTTCCTGAAGGATTCACCAGGGATGGTCATTAAGAATTGTTTTTTTAAAGCCTGACAGATACCAGTTGAAATGGCTGATGTACAGTGCAAATTACTGACTATATGTGAGCACGTTAAAAAAGAAATCAGAAAATTTAGTCAGGCTTCTTCTCAGGATGCCAGCTGATGAGGGCTTGTTTGTCAAACCACCCCGTGGTGCAAACAAGTCTGAGCATTGCTGGGTCCCTCATATGTACGATCCCAATATTTATTGTGTTGTGAATTAATGGATTAATAAAGATATTTTTTTCTAGTAAGTGCTTGAATGTATTTATTTGATTTTGTTCATATGACTTATGCTGGCAAAAGATTTCTTTTTTGATCTTAACACTATTTCTCTTGGTTGAGATATTTGTTAAGGAAACAAAGTAGACAGACCTTTTAATAAGGAGATGTTGATACCTCTCTGATGCGTAAACTGAATAGCCATGAAGATTATCCAGGCTGGATGACCTTCTTGTTTTAAATTTAAACTAAGAGAATCTCTAGGCTTGTAAGTGTGGTTTCAAATACTCTCCTGTTTATTACTGCTAATGAGGTCTAACAGGTATTTTCACAGTCCATATGTGCTAACATGCTTCTTGAAGATTTGTCAAAATAAACTCCTTTGAAATACTGTGCAGTCAGGATGTTGCACAGGACTATATACTGTATTGTACAGTACCTGTTCACTTTGGGTTTTAAACTAGAACATGTAGTGGAAAGAAAGCATTGCAGCACAGCTAATTAGTAGCAGTGGGTACTGCTATGTAAAAGTGTTGGAAAATGAATTCGGAAATGCCTCGCAAAATGTATTTTAAAACTCTGGTAAACTTCTCTGTCAGAAAAGAAAGGGACTACATTGTTTGAATTCATGTCCATTTTATTTCTTTAAATCCACTTATTTTGATGAGAAGTTCCCATTAAGTCTGGTGATGCTGAGCTTCTGAAACAGGCTAATTTAGTATTACCTCAGTATATGCCCTGGATTTCATGCTGAGAAGGAATATTGACTTTATTATATTTAAAGGCATTTTGACTTTTGCATTTTTAATCTAATTTTCTGGAATATTTCATCGCAGGTTCTAACTTACTAGGACAGCTAGAAACAGTGGCTAAAAAAGGTAAGCATAATTCCTAATTTTTGTTATTATTCCTTATTTTCATGTACTGCTTAATCATAGATTCATAGAATGGTTTGGGTTAGAAGGGGTGTAAAGCTCATCTAGTTACAACCCCCTGCCAGAGGCAGAGACACCTCCCACTAGACCATGTTGCTCCAAGCCCCATCCAACCTAGCCTTGAACACTGCCAGGGATGGGGCAGCCACAGCTTCTCTGGGCAACCTGTGCCAGCACCTCGGCACCCTCCCAGTAAAGAACTCCTTACATCTAATCTAAATCTGCCCTCTTTCAGTTTAAAGCCATTTCCCCTTCTCCTATCACTACATGCTCTTGTAAAGAGTCCCTCTCCAGCATTCTTTGTACGTTCCCTTTTTATACTGGAAGTCTGCTATAATGTGTACCCTCTTCACAAGGTTGAACAACCGCAACTCCCTTAGGAGCACCTCATAGGAGAGGTGCTTCAGCCATCTGATCATCTTCACAGCCCTTCTCTGGAGCTGAATATACAGCACTATTTATATTATACCTAATGATAGCTTGTTCTCAATGCTAAAGTATTATGTACGATTAAGTTTTGCTTTTTCCAATCTATGCATGCACTATATGTCATTATACCTATGGAAAATATTTCTGCAGTTTAGAACATTCCAGACCAGGAGCTGGAAAAGATATTTCAGTACAGCAGATACACTTTTGTTTGTTTGCTTGCTAGCACAGTTATTCAGATAAAAACATAGGTGCCATAGTGCAATGTATTTCTGATGAGAACAATTGCATGTACAGACTTCTGAGTTTGAAGGCTTTTCTTCAGAGGCTCATGCCTATCCAACAAAGTAGGCAATTTTTTGCCCATACAAATTGCCATTTGTCTAAATCCCAGTGAAATCAATGTATTCAAAGTTAACGTTAACCATTAATTTCAGTGGGATGCAAGTATGTGTCTTAAGCGCTTTGTTAAAGGGGAATCAATAGAAGCATATGCCAAAATGTCTTTCATTATTACAGTTGGGGAACAGACTGCAATTATGATTCAAAACATAAAAGGTACAATAGACATCTATGATTAGGCAATGAAATATGCCTTTAATAAGCATAGTGCAGACAGTGTGTTTTGCAATAAGTAAACTTGTATAAAATTCATTGACTTTTTCATTCTTTCAGATCTGTGTGCTCACTTTTAAGAGAGGTTTTTAGTTTTATGCACAAAGTTTTCCTGATGTTCTTCCAGAAGAAAGGTTGGGTTTGCAAGCATTTATTCTACTGCCAAACTTGAATTTTACTGGGAAAGGAGGAAGGAGCAGAGCAGACTTTCCCCTCCTCTCCCCCCCCCCCCCAGACAGCATACAACAGGTACTATTTTTTTTAAAATTGAGTATTTCTGTCCACTACATGTCCAAGGGCTAATTATGTTTCTGTTGTGGCACTCAAAGTCAATATTGTCAACTCTTCTTAGTTCTAATCCTCTACATTGAGTTTGGGTGAGCCAGGTGAAATATCCCCTTCAGCACCTTACTGCAATTCTTGTCAATCATCTTGCCATGAAAAACATGCATATTACAAAGGCCTTGGCAACACTGCATCTGATTTCAGTCTTTAATCTTATATGTACCTTAAGAAAACACCATTCCAACTACTGAAGTTCTGTTTGGGACATGAATGGGAACTTATTTGCTGTGGGAAACAAAAGAAAATTATCTAATCTTTAATGGATATAATGGAACTCTTTGGCCATTGCAGTATAAAGACTTAGTACTAAACCACTGATCTAGGAAGTAAGCAATTAGTACAGTGAACTGGTGTAGAAATGAAGCAGAATATCTCATGTGAATAAGTAAGAAAATGTGTATTTACTTATTCATCCTGTAATTATAAAATACCTCATTTCAAGCACTGGTGGAGTTAGGAGAGTGTCTTTTTTTGTAATCCCTGGGCTTTCTTTGCAAGGACTGCTGTTCACTGAAGTCCATTTTTAAGCATGGTACTGTGTGTGTCTTTTGTTGTTGTTTTCAAGATTAGCACATCTAAACTCTTCTGGTCCTACAATGGAAAATTAACATCATCTCTAAGAAACTGGAATACAAACTAATAAGGTAGGTTTCCAGAATCTGATTGCATCAGTCAGAAAGATATAGTACGAAGAGAAAAGTGGATATTCCCTGGGGGGGTAGTGTGAAATGGAGACCAGTCTTGTTTGAACAAGGTGCTTTGCATTGTTACTTAGGTAGAGGTTTTGGGAGTTGCAGCCTGTCAGAACCAGCATCTTCAAGGAGGGGGTGGGGGAAATTTTTTCCAAGTAAAAGTCTCAGCAGTTTGTGGTATGTCCAATGTACTAGTACAATAATTTAAGGAAACCCTTTTATACTCCATGAAAGATGAACTGTAAAGATACGCTTTCTGCACCTCCTCTGTTTTTCTTCAGATCCTTCAGAAAGACTGTTGAATTTTTTCCTTCTTCTTTCCCTTTACTTTAAGGCAACATGGAAATCAGGCTTGGTTTTCCTTGTTTCGGCATAAAACTGAACAGCACGATCTTTCTTCTTATATCTTTCATGAGGAAGCTTCTTTTTCTCAAGGCTGTGTGAAGAATTTTTCTCTCTTACCAATGTGTGAATGAACCTTAGTGCAGCCAAATGATATTCCATTCACTGTGTCAGAGCAACAGGTTATGTATCAGCTTTTAGCTTTATGCAGGAGGATGAGCTGTTGTACATGGTGCCTTAGTTCGTAACGCAATTAGTAATGCACAGCAATCTTTATTTAAACACCTTTGTTCAACTGGGACAAAGGATTGAGCTGGGGCATTTTTATTTTATCTTTATAACCTTCCTTTTCGTCTCTCTCAAAGGATCAAGAGGAAGTGCATTAATTTTCAACTTCACACTAAGGCAATTTGTACAAACATAGCTGAAAACATCAGGAAACTCAGGCATTTTACTAGAGAAATGGAGTCAGCTGATGTTCTGCTGGCAAGAAACTCCTGAATATTTGGAAGAAGCTGTTAGGCACAGTAGTTTGGGCAGTAGGGTGATCATATCATATTCTGATAGCACTGTTCAGTCTGGCTAGCTTAGATGAATGATTCCCATAATGTAGAAAGCAACAATTAGTAACAGGAAGCAATTTAAAGAATACAGGCTGCTTTGGAGACTTAAGAAGTGGGTCTCAGATTGTCAAAGGAGGGATTTTTTTGACTCATTTAATTTACACCACACTGGGATCTAATTGAATCTTGGGAGTGCTTTTGATTTTTGCCTCTTTAATTAGCATTTAGTTTATTTCTTGAGACATATTTCAAACACAGGAAAAATAAGTTCTTCTGACACTTCAGATTTTGCTTGCATTGATTTCTGGCCTTATTCATTCTGTGTATGTCATGATAGCTTGAAGTTTCAGGTCAGGACTTTGTTTCTTATCCCTAATTAGGGATTTAATTGTATTATTCCTTGCTCCTTTAATTTTTCTTGTTCTGTTTTTTCGTGAGATGCTCATTCTACTTTACTTAGCTACTTGTACCCCTGTTTAGGTATTAATAAGTGAATTCGCTTTGGATAGGGTAAGAGCCCAGTGTATTTGTAAGAGGGCATTTCAGGATTTTCTGCTTGCATCTTCCTTGAAATCCCTTGTACTTTCCAAATCTGGAAATACTATAACTCTGGAGGAGGTCCTTAACTGTGGTATAGTCCCAATTGAAGAATAAGAGACCGTTTGTGTTTACAGTTGGACCTTCCAAAAGGTATCATCTTTCTTTAATGACAAAACATATCAGATTCACAAGCTGTGACAACAGTGCCTCTGGGTTTCCATGACAGTGGCAAAGTGGAACATCTGATGAAATCTGCTTGTGAAATGCAAGGCCACCTTCTCTGTCACTGTGGTTACTGAGAGCTCTATGGTCCTCCATTTTTGTATGGAGTAGCAAATTCTCGAAGTGCAGAAGGTTACCCTAGAATGATGTCCCATGTGTGTGGCTTAAACATCCTTGTGAGGCCACTTCAGTGTCTTATGCTCTAGATCTGAAAGTCCTAATATTTTCCAAGTTCACAAGTTGGGTGAACATTTGCTTTAAGCTATTGAGTTGATGCCTAAGAACAGTGGAGGGGGGTGTTCACTTAGATCTACACTATTAATTGAAGCACTCTCCCTCACTGTATTTCAGTGAAGTGTAGCCAAGAACAACAAGATAAGAATTAATGTGACAAGGGAGTTTCTCAGACTGTGCTGGTGCACATTAGCTTGGCTGAAGAGAAAAAGAAGCTGATACTTGAGTCTTTTGAGTTGCAAAGGGTCTGGTCAGTCCTTGAAGGGGAAGCACATGAATGGCCCAGTTGTCATCGCATTTTATTTTTCCTCCAGCTTTGACTAATGGTGCATTTCCTCTGGCCTCCCACGTGCTGTCTGTGGCTGACTAGCTTTGTCACTCTTCACATCTAGTCACTGCCTTTACTGTCCACGCTGTTCCCATAGCAGGAACCCGGTGTCCTCTACAAAAACGCACAGGCACAAACCATCTGTCATTCTTCCCACTCCTCTTTCAAGCGACCACTTCCCATATTGTGTGGCCTTGCAGGCTGAAAGCAGCCTGCCTCCCCCCAGCCTCCCTTCGCATGCCTGGAGTACATGCCAACTCCCTGCTTGATAAGGGACCTCCCGACATTCTGCCTGTAAAAATACTAATGGGCATCTCCCTGCTGATAACCAGCTCTGCCTTTTTATTGTGTTCATGGGGTGATAAGTTGTCTGGATCAACAAGGAGTAGTCCCTTTTGCAGGCAAAGTAATTAGGGTCAAATTAGGTGTGAGTTGTGAAATTAATCATTGCAACCACCAATAATTTGTAGTGTGCTGTGGACAAAGGGAAAAAAAAAAAAGGAGGCTGGAGAACAGAAGGAGAAATTATTGTAAGGCACAAAGAACCAAAGGGATCAGGAAGAAGGGAGGAGAGAATGGCTGGCTATGCTGTAGGCTCTGCTGGATTTGGTCTCCTGCACCTGTGAACTGTGAAATCATAGAACAAGGTAATTCTTCAACATCATTTGAGAGTCCTAATTAATCCATGCCCGGGGTGTATTAAGGAGAGGAAGAGACCTGAATTTGCACGAGAAATAGTTAATTTATGCGTATATTGATGGTATTGCTTGCACATCACATTGTTTGAGAGGCGGCCTCCCCAGAAGTATGCTCACGGGACTTGTAATATTTAGGTGCTCTAGGAAAACCTGCAGCTATAGCCATTGATGCAGACTAAGCTGTGCCTAAACCACATCTGTCAAATGGGCAACACTGACAGTATAGTTAGATATACTTTTACCTGTTAAAAAAAAAAAAATCATACAAGCACCTTTTCTGTATGTTTAGTAAAAAAAAAAAAAAAGGCAATTTTATTGCTTTATTTCAAGTACTGGCTTGTGGAAGATGTCATAATCTGAATCTATAACATGAATTATATAGATCTAGTCTCTGCTGGAAATTAAGTCCAACAGATCTAAATTATACCTGGAATTTCTAAGCTGAAAATCCAGTCCATCCTTCTGTGGCAGCACTTGACAATAAACATATGACCCATGTCTAGAAATTATGTTCTCTGAATCTTGCCTTTTCCTACAGCATAGCTTAGACTCACTGCTTGGGGATACAACTTCTTGGATCAGTTGTTGCCAGGGCTGCATTACAGTGGTTCTGAGATGATTAGAAGAAAGCAATGTAGATAAACCTTCAGTTTATGTATATAAACAGTGTAACTGGCATGAGCATGTTTTTCCAGGACCATTAACCAAGTCTGGGAGAAGGCAGATGCAACTCAGAGGTCAAACCTACAAAAGCAAAGCCACTTTGACACACCAAGACCTCTCTGTGAATTTGTTCTAACTTCAGAAACTGGGGAACGTCAAGCAGAGAATGGGACTAGAAGATAGTACACCACCTGCTGAAAAGCTTCAGTTTTGTTTTCTGGGGTGAAGAGCCTGAATTTTGTGCCTAAAATGCAAAGCTGAAGGTGTGCTGAATTTGCTTGGAAATCCTGCAAAGCTATTTTCATTTCCTGTAACTGTTGCGAGGTTGGCCTTTTTCCATGGCTAAGTCCCAGTTCTTCGCTAGTCAGAATGAAGTGGCAGGGGAAACTCACTTTCTCTTTCATCTTATAGTATATCTAGGAGGCAAGAACCAAGACTTTGAACCATTAATTCCTAAGCCTGTGGCTTGATTTGCTGCAGTAGAAACTGTGCTTTAAGGGTTTTGTCTTCTCATACCAAAGCTAATTGTTAATTGCATCTTCTTTTCTCTAGCCACTGCCACAAGGAATGACTGCCTTCTGTGCTGTTGACAGATCTGCCCCTTCGTTATCAGACACTGCTCTTTTGCCATCTCAGCTTCATAACAATTGCCTCTGCCTGGGAGCCAGTGGAGCAGCCATGTTGGGCCAAGCAGTTCTCCGAGGAGAATGATGGATGATGGAGTGATTCCCTTCAACATGTCTGGGACACTGAGGTTGTGTTAATTTTTTATCTCCCCCCATACTTCTCCTTTCCCTGCTCTGAATTCTGAAAATTAATCATGGTATTCTGTATGGACACAGAGACAATACTATAGTAATTTGGAAAAAAAAATCACTTTACGGCACTGCTGTGTATCTCTTTTGTCAAAATTGTGAGTAAAGAGATAATTACTACAGGTGAGAGAGGCTGATGGATGACCATCAGAGGGTACATAGGGAATAAATTTGATTGGCTCTGCCAAGTTTCTAGTGTTTATGCCAGCAATACTGCTTCCTTTTCTCTCACTACTGTCATGTATGTCATTTTGCTGCAGTTTACATACTGGCCTCCCTCCTGTGCTTGAGGAAGAAGCAGGTATGAGTGATACAGTTATATTGGCACAAAACTCTGGAGATGTTGTACCAGCACAAAGCAAAGTTTGTCTGGAAGCAGCTTACTCTGAAAAGTGTCTGCAAGCAGTCAGATGTCCATGTGGAGATGGGTTCCTAGGACTGGATCTCAGCTGTATTGAAAATTAGCTTTGTATTCACATACTTCCCTGAAATATTCTCTAATAGCTGATTTGAACAGTCTTTAGCAGAGATCATGTTTCTAGTTTGGGATTCTCATTATACATCTTTCATTAATACAGGGATTCTCCGCAATCAGAGACCAGCACCACAAAACAGCTGGATCTATTTTGGCTTGACAAGGGGCATGGGCATTTTTTTATATATATTTATGGCTCTCGTGAACATTCAGAATGCTTTTTATAAATATTAAAAATAATCAAGGGTTCTGGAAAGAATTCATACTGCATTGCCATCATCTGCAGGAGTTCTTCCATCTTCCTCTAGAATATGGATTACTAGCTGACACTATGAACTAACTGGTCCAGTCTGGGAATTTCTAGCTACAGCTAGAGGAAAGGGGAGGCTATGGAGGGAATTGGTATCTCTTGATCATCAGAGAGAGCAAATATAATGCAGGCGGCAGCCTGGCTGCCCCTGCAGCAAGTCAGAAGCAAGAAGCTTGCAAGCAGGCACCTCAGAAAGCTCCCCTGAGTTTTGCTCTGCCTTCTGCACCCGCTGTGGTTACTTGGTAGGTTACTTGCCCTGCTTGTCTTGAGGTAGCTAGAGTTGAAGCATATGTTTTCCATTTAGAGCTTGGAGGATGCCCAGGTCTGACTTGGCATGCTGTCTGCACTGGGCATCAGCAGTACAGATGTGGAAACCACAAACCCGATTAATATGAGCCTAGAGTAAAAACTCAAATAAGCTTATAAATAAAACCAGACTCGCAGATTATTTGTTTCCATATTAGTCTATAATAGACCCTACTCAATATGTTTGTTTTATTTGGTTTGGTGACCGACATAGGTATTTATATTTCCAATAAAAATTGAAATCAGAATACAACAGATGAAGTAAGCTTAAATTATTTGTGCAGAAGATAATTGCAACTGTCTGAAGCATGTAATTCCTTACATGAAATGTTAGCCTGCTTTGAACAGAGATGTGACAAACTCCTCAGTATTTAACTTGCCCTTCCTTCATAGCTCCAAATCGTGCATTTATATATTAAAATGGACTCCTAAATGCACTCTAATCCTCAATGAAAAATGCAGAGGTGTTGGATAGCTTGGTGGGTCCAATTCTTGCTGTAAGCATCATCTGTGATCTTAAGTGTGCCCCTCAATGATCCCGATGTTTTAGCTTAATCCCCATGTCTTTTTCCCCCTGCCAGTCTCCTGCTGAGCTCTGGGCATGCTTGAGGACATCCAGTGCTCCTTTCCAATGCAACTTCAGCTGCTCCAGTGCAGGTAACAAAGCCATCCAGAGAAGAGAACTCCAAAGAACTCTCCAAGAAGTTTCTTTAATGGTGCTGACAAATGTTTTACTCAGTGGAGGAGATCTCTTCCTGAGAGCTGCTGGCCCTTTATCCAAGGTGAGATCACTTTGATTCAGCTCCATTTAAGCACAGACGTACTAGAAAAATCTATGGTTTGGCAGCAGTAGGGCATCTAGTTTATTTTGCCTGTACTATGACACTTAGAATAGGACACCTGCGCAAAGCCTGACAAGTCTTTGAAGCGAGACTTACTGTACTGATGCCTTATCTGTGGTAGGTAGTATCTGCAAATGATCGATTAAGCCTACCTAGCTTTCAGACCATCCCAGGGTGATGTAACTGGCATTGTGCTTCTCTCTCCTAGACGTACTAAACGGATAGTAGAGGAAAATAAGCAATTCCACATGATGGTTTGGATCTGTCCATAAGCTGTCAAGGGAGCATGCAGTTCTTGCATCCCAGTGGGACAAACCTGAGCCTTGGGTAAGTATTTGCAGTGACTTTTTGGTGCTAGTGGGCCTCTTAAGATAAATGAATAAAGAAACAGTGCTCTATTCCCATCTTTGCCTTGCAAAAACATAAGGGAAAAACTCTTACACCCTTTGTTAGGACGTCAGTGCCAGAGGAAAGACACCAGCAGTTATTCCATTCAAATGTCCAGTTTTTCTTTCTGATTGTTTCACTGGGTTCCTTTTTTTCCCCTCCCCTCTTCAGCTGGTTGAGCAATGGCCTTTTCCTATGAAACAAATTTTCAGCTTCACAATGGTCCTGACTTCTCATTGTTTGAAAGGCGAGAGGGTCACTCAAAGTAAACTCTCTTGGGCTAGATGGTGTTTTCCACATGGAGATGTTGGAGGGCCACTCTGTGCTGTCAGCCCAGAAAGGCCAGAAGATGCCTTCAGACTCCCCAGGTGCCTCTGTGTTTGTTTTCTGATGTTATTGCACATACAATATCATTAATATTATGTCCAAAGCCTGTCTTTTTAAACAGAGTCAACACATCTAACCTATTCGTCAGTCACAGGGAAAAAGGAAAGGATGAAGTCAACACTGTAAGGAATTAACCCTTTACATTGCCCAGGGAAGAAATAAAAGATATTACCTCCTTAAATTGCAAAGAGGACTTTATTGTTTTCTCTCACAAACTAGTGGAAATAATTCCTCTCACTTTTGCGCTCAGATGTGGAATGCAACACCTTGTGTCCTGCAGAAATCAGGGAAGACTGGTGACTTACAAGACATCATTCTCTTTCCGTGGTATATGCCACTGAAGGGCAGGAAATTTGCCTCCAACCCACCTTTTTCTTTTTTTTTAATCTCTCTTTTCCTGTGGGCTGCCTCAGGTACTGGCTAGGCTTGGCATGTAGACACAATTAGAAATATAGGCGAGACTGCATGGAGCAAAGTGTCCAAGTGCTGAGTGAGTGCCCAATGGGCTGTAGCAAAATGCACAACCAAGTCAAAGAAAAATGGAAAATGTTTCATAAAATTCATCTTTGCATCCCTTTTTCCTCTCTTGATATATGGCCCCTTATTCACAGCTGCCCGGGCCCTGGCCCACGTATAAATATGTCAGTGCAGCAATGAGTCGGAACACGGTCACAGAAATGCCGGCGGCTGTTCCCAGATAAAACGCTGAGCTGGAGCCGAGGCGTTTATTGTAAATAAAGATCAAGGCAAAGCAGCAACATTTCTGTTCAGCTCAAGCCTGCCAAGATTGCTAGTCCAGCTCCTTTCAAGACTACCATATGTCCACATGGATTTCCCCTTCCAGAAAGTGACACGTTACCCTTCTGACAGCTCTGTAGCCAGTGCAAGTTCCTCGATATTTTGCATGTGGTGCTTTACAATAACTTTGAAACACTGGTGGCAGATGAGGCAGTGGGAGCATGTGTGGGCATGGAGGGGAGTGGTAGACTTCCAACTGTTCATCTCTAATGCTGCTGTACCTTAACAGTAACTTTGCAGGGCCCAAGACACATTAATGCTTTTTTGGGTTCTGCTCAGTAGAGGGCACTGGATCCTATAAATAGGAATTGATACAGTGAAGCACAAAGGGCCTGATAGCTTTAGCAGATGAGCTAATTTTTTTTCCTTCTGGATACTGGTGGTGTGTAAGAGAAGTATGTGGCTCTGTCTGCTGCATGCCTATTGACCAAGGGACAACCACCACATGTGTTAGCAGGTGATATAAACTTGTCTTTTACATATATATATATATATATATATTTTAATGAAAGTGGTAGCTACAAAAATCAGTTATCTGGAAATCAGGTTGGCCAACATACTAGCCATCTGGCATCCTTCTGAACAGCAACACCAGCTGACACAACTTGGGGGAGATACAAGAACCTACAAACTAGAGCCTGAACAGCCAGGCTGGGATGGAAACTGGTTAAAATGTGCAGGCTTGACTGCAGTCCACAGGGGAACTATAGGAGTGGTCTGAGGGGAGCTGGTTGAATTGGGGTGTTTAAGCCTTCTTTGTAGCTCTTGATCCAAAATTCCTAAATTTTCACTACAAAGTTTTAATTTTTTTTCCCAGTTAGTTCATCTTGGTCTCAGCAACAGCCACAGACAATGGACTGTCAGTCTGCTCCACTCTCCCTATTTCATCACTGAGTTCCCTTTGCTATGTGCTGTAGTTTGTGTTTTCCCCACTGATGGTTGAGATGAGCTGTAAACCAAAGGGACTAACAAAAAATTGTGAGGAATCTAGTTTTTTTTCAGATGATTTTTCTAAAGTTCAGATGGCTCTTATGCATGTATGTTGTAACATCATTCTTTTAATAATGGAAGTTTTAGTGCTAATAAGTAACATTAAAAAAACTTTCTAAGCCTTCATCTGGCACAATATGTTGAAGATTTGGCACAATTTACTCACATAATTCAAGAATAAACTGAAATTATTCATTCTCCACACCAGTAGATGCTGACCTTGAGCTTGACCTAGGATGCTTCACTTTATATGACAGCGACAAATAGAAGAAAATTGAATGCTACCATATTATATGCTTTAGCTCTGCTGAAGAAAACTGCAAGGTGATGTTTTCCAAAAAGCAGCCAGTTAGTTATTGAGAGTTTTATACTTCTATAGCAACACATCTCACCACACCCTAGCAATTGCCAGGCCCAACCTAGAGGATAAATGTGCTGGAAAACGTGGCAGTAGCTTCCAGCATTTGCTGATTTCTGAGCTTAGGGAGTCAGGCATGCCTGCCTTGCATAGCAGCAAAATAAGTTTCAGAGCTTGGAGAGAGGAACTGCTTTTCTTTCACACACCCTCTCCCTCACAAGTCTGAGCTCCTGCCTTTGCCTTGGCAATATAACATACGGTTTGAGAGCTGCCCATGCGCCACAGGTGGCTGGCCCTTGACATGTAGTGCCATGCCACTGTTCCCATTTAAATCAGATAGAAGCCATGATTACTAAGGGTTGTGGGTTTGGTTCTTTTATTAATAAATAGGTCAGCAGGCCCTAACAGTTGGCAGCCATCTCCAATCTGGGAGCTGTGTGATGAAAGGCTATATTATGGCAGGCTCCAGTGTATCTTTTTATCTGTCCTACTTGGTACAGCATGTTCCAGGTGGAGACTGGTAGGATGCTAGTGCTAAATCCTGCCCTACTGCCATTCCCTAGTGACAACAGCAGTATCCTGGCTCTTCATCCCATGTTCAGATCCCAGCTCCCTTTGACTGCTCTGAAAACTACTGCTGCCATCACAGTTCTTTGATATGTGGAAACTTGCTGACTTGGGCACATTATTCTGGGAAGGGAGATCAATCCCTTTTAAGTTCTTTGCAAACAAATGTGCTCTTGACATGGTCCCTATAGTCTGTAGTAGGCTAAACCAGCTCTGCATTTTGTAACCATCTTCCACTGCAGAAGCCTGATACTGTACCTTCATTTCTGGTACTATAAATCATTATTCCCTAACATCACTCAGGAGAGAAGTAGGTAGGTAATAAACATGGCCATAAGTTGGTTCAGTAGCAATTTCCCTTTGCAGTTTTAAAGTGTGATTTTTTTAAATAGATTTAACAGATCCTTGGCAGGTTAATGGGGACAGGAGACTTCTGCTTTATCCCCTGGAGCCCTGACAATTTGAGATGTTGCCTGGCTCAGCTCCTAGATGTGAGAGGAAGGAATAACTTGCACATCTCCTGAGTGATTTCCTGATGTTCACTGGTGGAGAATAGACATGATTCACTCCAGAAGGTACGTCTGAGTGCTCCCAGGGATCTTTCTGCTAAGCAAGGTTGGTAGCATCAGCTCCCACAAAGCTCCCCTGAAGAGAAGCTGGTGTCAGCCTCAGCTAACTCTCAGATGCCTGACACCAAAGTGTGTAGAGTTTTGTTAGAAGCTGACTGAAAATGTGGTGCTGTTATTATCTGACACTGGCTGAAACAAAAGCCAAATGTTGATGAATGTCTGATCCTAAAAGTAAACAGTTTGATTTTTTTTTTTAGTTCTTTGCAAGTCAGGGGCCCTCTAGGGTTTTATCTGATTTTGGCAATCTCCTGCACATTTTGGGGCCTGGAGCATGGTTTTAATTGTTACATCACAAAAGTTGCCAAATAACGTTGAATGCTCCTTAAAAACTCTCTCAATTTTATGGAACTTCTCAACAGCTTGACTAATACAATAATTACTGGAACTCGGCTATGTTGCCTAGTGGCAAATGGAATTTTTTCATAATGATCCTGTCTGTCGTTAATAGCAGGATTTGTTCTTTCTCTCAGCGGGAGAGAGGCCAGAAAGCCATGGTATCTGTCTTTCTTAATGACAGCCAACAGCAAACGGGTAAAATAATCAATTATATCTACAGATAGGTAGATAAAGTATAATTTATCATGTCAAAAACAAAAATGTTTTTAATTGGGCTGTTAATCATTTTGTAATTTTAACTAAAGAGATGGGGGCTCCACTTTGTGCTCAGACATCACCAGTATTTCATACAGTATTAGCTGATCTTATTATAGCTTTAATAATAGTATTTATTACTAACTGCCAAAATATATAATGTGATTTCTGTTTTCATTAGCTGAAGCCTTTGCAGTGATCCTTCTAGAAAGATCCAGAAAAAAAAAGGGAGG